ACAGGGCATCTGGGTACCCTGGGGACTGAAGTAAAACTGTTCTTCCTCTGCCTTTGAGAAAGGTTACCATTTCCAAAAGGACAAGGAAGACAAGAACAGGACAACTCTCCACCATGGAAATGCTGAGACCTGTATGTTAACTCTAAAAAGGACAGAATCAGTACTGTTCGACAGTCTTCAAAGATGACCACGACGTGGCCACTGGAATGTCTTTGAAGGACACAGGGCCAGCCACACTGCAAACACTTCTATCCCCACCCTAGGTCCTCTTTGGCATGGGGAGCATCTCTGGGGTTGACAGGCAGGGATGCTGCCATGGGCAACGAGTTGGCTTTCTCCCCTTTGTTCTGTTCCCTCAGCACACTATTGCCAGTGCTCAGGGCACCACCAGCCACATGATCCACAAGTTCCCATGCTACCGCTACCCGCAGCACCACTTCAGCCCCAAGGCCTGTGTTCACACAAGTATGTGACTAGAACATCTGACTTCCTCAAGGTGCTGAACTGTGCATGCCCAGATGCCAGGAAAAGGAAGTGAAAGCAGTCATGGGATACATGTTGTCATCTCACTGATGCTTGGGTACTGGAGGAGGAGGTGTTTGGTGACTGAAGGCTGGAGTAATTGCTCCTGAATCAATGTAGCTTTTAATGATGCACCTTCTGAGTTCTTAAGGGATTCTCCATTTTGGCTCCTTTTTGTAGGATTGGAAAATAATCTGCTACAGAAATGAGCTGTGCTTACGAGGACCTCATAATTCCCAAGAGCAGAAAAAGGAAAAAAGAATTCCGCTTGGTCAACTTAAGTGCTTTTGTCTTCCCTTTCAAACTCCCCTTCTCTCATACCCACTTTTCCAGGCTGCTTTGCTTTGCAATGCTTTAGTGGTAATGAGTTGCAGGATAATGCACTCTAACTTGTTTTCTCGTGAGTATTGTATTTAAAACTCTTTTATCTGAAGAAATACAGTTGGGGTCATTAACAAAGAAAACTCTTTTCTAGCTGAAAAAAATTACATATGTTGATTACATTAGGACATGCCCATGTCCTTCTGAGCACCTTGACCAAAACAAGCACAGGAACTTGGGGTAGATCAGCATATTACACTGATGTACATGTAGGTGTATGTGTTTCTGTGTATATAAATATGTGTGTATACACATGTCCATATTTTTATACATATATCAATGCAGACACTCCCTAGAATGATGGTGTCTACTTCTCAGGTTTCTGTGAAATGAGAAATGAAGGGATATATAATGGACATTTTCTTTTGAAAACCTGAAGTTGGAGGGGTTTATCTTTAGAGTCAAGAACAGAATTTATGCTGTTTCTTACCTTCCCAAGCTATATCTCTTTGGGACTCAGGATTCCTGCCCCTCCCCAACATAAAGTCACTTCCTGACATGGTTACTCTATGCAAAGTTGTCCAGGAAGCTTGGTTTGTAATGGGTAACATTGATGTGGACTTTCCCTGTTTACCTATAGCTTTAAACTTTGTTGTCTCCTTCTCCCCTGCGATTGAAATGCCCTGCTTACCTACTTGGTCAGCATCATGCTTGATTATTGATCAGTTTGTGTAGGTTTGTTAAGGCTGCAGCGTCTTGACAGTTAACACTTGTATAGCCCTCTGTATTTGTCTCCTTTTTTCTTCCCTTTCCCTTTCATTCAAACTTACAGATAACCTGTAATTTGAGAAACAAAATGTGCATTCATTAGTAAAATTTTGTTTTTAAAGATTTATTTTATTTACTTGGGGAGGGGAGAGGGAGAGAGAGAGGGAGAGAGACAGAGAGGGAGACAGAGAGGGAGAGAGAGATCTTCCATCTGCTGGTTCACTGTCTGGAACCTGGAACTCCATCCAGGTTTCCCACATAGGTGCAGAGGCCCAAGCACTTGGGCCATCTTCTGCTGCTTTTTCTAGGCACATTAGCAGGGAGCTGGATTGGAAGTGGAATAGCTGGGACTCCAACTGTCACCAATATAGAATCCTGGCATCATAGATGGTGGCTTTATTCAGTGCACACAATGCCAGTCCCAGTAAAATTTTGTTAAGATCTCAATAAACTTAATTTTTTCTATATGAAATAACATGTGATAACAAGGATAAAATATTGATAGTGTCATTTAAATTATACATTCCTTCTTGCTTGCCATCATCAAATAAATGGGATCCCAACACCTTATTAATAAACCATTTCAATTTTAAAAAATGCCACTTTGGGACTCTGGAGAGGAGATCATTAGATATCAGATGACTTTGCTAGAGACAGTGTTTTTAAATAGCATCATGAATATGGTACAAGTGTTAATTCTATTACAGTTCTCAATTTACCATGTGTTATTATAACACATTTTTGCTAGTTATTTGAACATTTGAAATATTTTTCATTTTCAGCTTTTTATGGACAAATAATAGAGCGTGTTTATTTCAGCCTTGGGGATTCATTTAATGGAATATAGTTCTCTTGAATGTCTTCACTTGCTGGTTCTGAAATTTCTGCTGATATTCATTCTTGAAACTTTTTGTATAACAGGAATCCTATTTTTGGAGAAATATCTTGTGCAATTATTTTGAGAGGCATTGATTTTAAGATCTGATGTAAATTTCACTACATGTAGTTTTCAAGTTTCCATCGAAGCCTTAAAAAAAGTTGATATAGGGGCCAGCATTGTGGCATAATGGATTGAGCTGCTGCTACCTGCAATGCCAGCATCCCATATAAGCACCCATTCGAGTCCCTACTGCTCTACTCCCAATCCAGCTCCCTGCTAATGTGCCTGGGAAAGCAATGGAAGATGGCCCAAGTTCTTGGGTCCCTACCTCCACATGGGAGACCTGGATGAAGCTCCTGGTTCCTGGTTTCAGCCTAGCCCAGCCTCATCCATTGTGGCCACTGGGGGAGTGAACCACTGGGGGAGTGAACCACTGTCTCTCCCTATCTGACTCTGTAACACTGCCTTTCAAACAAATAGATAAATCATGGTTTTTTTTTAATTAAAAGAAAGTATAAATAAATTAGCATTTTTAGTAACAAACAATATAAAGAGATTCTTTTTGAGTTTCTTTAATATTATAGTATATATATGTACATATATATTACAAAGATAACATGTTTATTAAATGTTTTTAAACTATAAGAATGTAAGAGGAAACCTTACATAACCTCAGCCCACAAAGATGACTTCTTTTGACACTTGTTCATATCTTTCCATTTTTTCCAGGGTGCATATTTCTTGTCTCTACTATTGTGGACAGGAAAGTCCTTTCTTTTTTTCCTGTTTGTTGAATTCTTTACTTAATAGAGAGTTACACTTATAATTTTATTTTATTTTTAAATTTATTTTATTTAAAGAGTTACAGAGAGAGGTAGAGACAGAGAGAGAGGTCTTCCATCTGCTGGTTCACTCCCCAGATGGCCACAACAGCCAGAGCTGTACCGATCCAAAGGCAGGAGCCAGGAGCTTCTTTTGGGTCTCCCATGTGGGTGCAGGGGCCCAAGGACTCGGGCCATCTTCTCCTGCTTTCCCAGGCCATAGTAGAGAGCTGGATTGGAAAGAGGAGTAGCTGGGACTTGAACCAGTGCCCATATAGGATGCCAGCATTTCAGGCCAGGGCTTTAACCCACTGTGCCAGAGCACCGGCCTCAAACTTATGATTTTAAACTAAACTGAAAGTATGTCATTGTAAAAATTAAAAGAATAAGAAAGGAAGGAAGAGGGATGGTAGGAGTTTGGGTGGGAGGGAAGATACAGTGGTAAGTATCTCTATGTTACTAAATCTGTATTTATGAAGTTTGTTCACCTTATATAAGTAAAAATTTTCTAAAGACAAAAACACACCAATAAAAGATGGGATAGATCTGACTTAGAAATTTGTGTGACTGAAAGAAAAGTATGACATGATCTTACTCTTATGTGGAATCTATTAAAAAAGGTGATCTCCTAGAAATTAGAAGTATAATGGTGGTTACGAGGAGGGAAGGATGGAGGGCGGAATGATAAGTAAAGGTTGATGAACAGACATTAAGTTACAGCTACAGAGGAGTAAGAAGCTCTGAAGTTCCATTTCCCAATAAGCTGAACTGAATCGATTCTAGTGGTTAGGAGTCAGGCTCCACTATTTTGCTGTAAAATCCTGAGTCTATACCGACAGTGTCTCTGGGAGCCCTGCCTATACTCGCTGCATGCTTGCTGTTCTGCAGCCTTACCAGCTGGCCGTATCCCTGGAGGCAGCTGACACTGAAATTGAACCTTATAGAAAATGCACCATCATTTAAAAATATGCTTAGGTTCTTTGGTTGGAAGATGGATATATCCACATGAGAAACCTGAGGTTTTCTAGAGAAACAGAATCTATAGGCTGTGTGTGTGTGTGCACGTGTGTGTGTGAACACGTACATATGTAACAAGAGATCTATTATTAAAAAATTCCGCTCACGTGGTAATGGAGCCTGAGCAGTCCCAAACATTTGCAGGATCAGTCCAGGGGCTGAACCCAGGAGAGTGGATGGTGAAGGTCCAGTCTGTGCCCAAAGACCTGAGAATCAGGAGAACCAACTATGCTTCCAGTCAGCAGGCTCGGGGGCCCAATAAGATTCAGTGTTTCTACTTGATTATGAGGTCAGGAAAATAAATATCAAAAAAAATAAAAAAAATAAAAATAAAAAGGTCCTGGTTAAATGGCCACTAGGCAAAAGGAATTGTGTCTTACTTGGGAGAGGATCTGCTTTTATATTCTCTTAAGGCCCTCAACTGATTGGATGAGACCCACCCACATTGGGGGGGGGCATATGCTTTATTCAGTGGGTGGAGTTAAATGTTGCTGTCCTGCAAAACATTCTCACGGACACACAGAATACCATTCCATCAAATGTACAGACATCCAAGGGCCCAGTGAAGTGGACACACAAAGCTGAACCTCTCAGTAGGCTGCTCAGAGCAGGTTTCACTGTGCTCACCAGCATATCCTGCATGCTGTTCATTTTCCTCCTATCCCACCCAGGAATTATTTACTCCACATCAACTCTGAGTCATTTGGAGTCCACCACACTCTTGCTGATGGTCAGTGCTCGAGACGGCGGTGGGCTCACAGCTGCCACGAACGCTGACGTCACCATCCACATTCTCCAGACACCACTGGCTCCTGCAGAATTTGAAAGGCCTCAGTATAACTTCGCGGTTTATGAAGATGTGCCTGTGGACAGCCTCGTTGGGACAGTGAAGGCAAGAGAGCCCTTGAGTAAGTACTTGTTTCTTACGCAGCACCTGAGTCCGTTATTGGAACATTTCCTCTCTTCGCTTAGGCTCTCAATTCTTTGTTTTTAAAAAGACTTATTTTATTTATTTGAAAGACAGAGTTACAGAGAGAGATAGACAGAGAGAGAGGTCTTCCATCCACTGGTTCACTCCCCAGATGGCCACAACAGCCGGAGCTGCACCAATCTGAAGCCAGGAGCTTCTTCCAGGTCTCTCATGCGGGTGCAGGGGCCCAAGGACTTGGGCCATCCTCCACTGCATTCCCAGGCCGTAGCAGAGAGCTAGATCAGAAGAGGAGCAGCCCAGACTAGAACTGGCGCCCACAAGGGATGCTGGCACTTCAGACCAGGGCTTTAACCTGCTGTGCCACAGCGCCAGCCCCAGGCTCTCAATTCTTGAATCCTTCTTTTCTCCTTTCCATGCAAGATGACTGAGGGAGAGAGTACAACTTGTGGCTTGCCCTGTATTCTTCTAACATTGTTTCCATCTACCCTGTACTTTTTTTTCTGACCACAAGATCATAGGAATTTTTTTTTGGAGTTTAAAACAATATAGAATAATTATAATGTAGCAAGTGTATGTCTCCTTTAACCCATTCATCCACACACACACACACACACACACACACACACACACTCAGTTTTAAATCTTTTCTGTTCCCACAAAAATACATCCTACTGTATTTCCTGCTGCTATACAGCTACCTTTTTCCCCCATTAAGCATGGACTAAACAGCTTTCCAAGTAACTCAATATCATTTGGTCTCAAAAAAAATGCAAGGTAGGGATTTAGCCTCACAGTTAAGATCCTAGTTAGGATGCCCACACTGCACATAGGAGTACTTGGATTCAATTCCTGGCTCTGGCTCCTGACTCCAGCTTCCTGCTAATGCAGACACGAGGAGGCAGCAGTGATGGCTTGAGTAATTGGATTCCTGCCACCCACATGAAACACCTGGATTAAGTCCCTGGCTCCTGAATTTGGCATTGGGAGAGTGAACCAGTAGATGGCAAATCTTTGTCTTTCTTTTTCTCTCTAAATACATAAAATTAAAAAAAAATTAAATTGCATACTCTTTCCATTCCAATGTTTTACTTAAACATTCCCCTTTTGTTTCCCATTTGAATACTTAAAAACTTCTACTAGTTCAAGTAGTACTTGAACAAATAGCCTGTACAGCTGTCCCACATTTGCAGAGATGTCTCTGCATGGTGCATTCCAAGAAGTGGATTACCTCGCCAAGCAGCTTATCCTTCTCCCAGTCCCCACCTGTTCCTTCTCTTCCCCCTCCGCCAAACTCTGTGGATGGTGTTTCCCATGCATAGATGAACATCCTAGAAAAATATCAACATGAACTTCACCTGGCTTTTTCAAACATAACAAAGATTATTTTCTGAATGTCTTTCCTTTTTCTCTGATGCAAGAAGGTTGGAGAAAGACAGTGAAATCTGTGGTTTTGCTCTTTGTTCATTGGGCATGCCCCTTGTCAGTCAAAAAATATCGTAAATCACGTGTCCTATTTTCAACAGGCTTTGGAGAATTGAAGAAAACATGGCACAGTATCCTTGTGGATGTAATATATATCCATATACTCATTTTCAGTGTTTCTAGTAGATAGTATTCTAGTACTTAAGATACAATGATAATCCCTCCCTCTCTCCCTCTCTCCCCCCTTCCCCTTTCCCTCTCTCCCCCCCACCTCCCTCCCGCTCTCTGCAGATTCTTCAGAACCAAACTTGTACAGAATTTCCTCTGGAGATCTGGATGGAACATTCTCCATTCACCCGTGGCTGGGCACGATTCGCACCCAGAAGCCTCTAGATCATGAAGCACAGCCTGTGGTTGTGCTCACGGTCCAGGCGCAGCTGGGCAGCTCCGCAGCCTGCAGCAGCACGGAAGTCAACATCACCGTCATCGACGTCAATGACAACCACCCCGTGTTTCCCAAAGCCTCGGATGAGATCACAGTACCGCAGACCACTGCTCCTGGCACAGCCGTGTACTTGGCGCGTGCAGAAGACAAAGACAGTGGGCTGAATGGACTCATCCGCTACAACATCGCGAGCCCGAATCCCGGCATCTTCACCATCCACCGGGAGCTTGGCGTGGTGCACCTCAGCGAGAGCCTTGCTGGCCACGTGCCGCGGAATCACACGCTCACTCTCAGGGCCCAGGACCTGGGTGTCCCGCCTCATGCAGCCCTGTTGCTATTGACTGTGGTCATAGAGCAGCCGCAACAAAGCCCACGCTTGGCTTTTGAAAACTTGGTCTATCAAGTGGAAGTGAGTGAGTCTCTGTCGCTGATGACTCAAATCCTGCAAATACAGGCCTACCCGCTCGGCCCACAGCCCATAATGTCGCAGGTTGTGTACTCACTGGAACCCATCGTGAGCTCTGCCGTGTTTGGAGTCCACCCTTACACGGGCTGGATTTATTTGCGGCGACAGCTCGACTATGAATCTACACAAGCGTACACTTTCAGAGCCTTTGCCTGGATCCCGGAGGATAGATTGTTGCAAAATGTGAGCACTTCAGTAATTGTTCATGTCCTGGATGAGAATGACAACCCCCCCACCTTCTTGCATGGTGTGTTGTTTTTGAAAGTTGAGGAGAGCCCTGCTCCCCAAGGGGTCCTAGGCAAAATTACAGCAATTGACGCAGACTCTGGAAAGAATGGACAGCTCTCCTATTTCCTTTTGTCTGATGGAAAATTCTTCAAGATGAATCCTAATACAGGTAGCATTTTGCAGCTTTCACCTATTCCTTTAAAATCCAATTGAGAAAACACAACTCTTCAGGTGTAGCATTTCATAGAAACATACAATTACAAGAATTTTTAGTATGTACTGTATTTGGTGGTAGTACTATTATATATTTTTGCAGTGTAGCAAAAATAGAATAGAATTTCACCTGTAATGGTTCATACTTCACTTGGCTCATATTCAGTTTGAGGTTTTGGTCAACAGACCACATCGATGACAGTGGTGCCATGGAATGACAATGGAGCTGAAAAACTTCCTATTGCCTCATAGTTTTAATGTACTTTTATATGTTTAGATGCACAAATACTTGATTGCATTACAATTGCCAATGATATTCAGAGCAGAAACACGGTATAGATTTGGAGCCTGATAAGCCTTAAGCTAGTACTACGTAGCCTGGGTGTGTAGTAGGATCATCCAGGTAGGTTTGCAGAGTATATACTCTGTGACGTTCTGTCAACAACAAAATCCCCTAAGAGCGCGTTTCTCAGAATGAGTCCCGATGGTTCAGCAGTCAAGGGCTGTGTGTGGTTCTGAATCTGAGTGAGAGGTATGGGCAGAACTGGACTCAGTGAACCCTGCATCAAGGTTAATCGTTTCTCAGCAGCCGTTCTTTCTCATTCATACGCTTTTCAAAAATAGCAAAACTTTTTTTTAACATTTCTTTCTTTATTTGAAAGTCAGAGTTGCACAGAGAGAGGAGAGGCAGAGAGAAAGAGGTTTCCCATCCAGTGGTTCACTCCCCAGTTGGCTGCAATGTCTGGAGCTGCACCGATCTGAAGCCAGGCGCTTCCTCTGGGTCTCCCGTGTGGGCGCAGGGGCCCAAGGACTTGGGCCATCTTCCATCTTCTACTGCTTTCCCAGGCCACAGCAGACAGCTGAATCAGAAGTGGAGCAGCCGGGTCTCAAACCGGTGCCCATATGGGATGCGCCTCAGCGATGGCCCCACGGCAAAACATAGTTTATGAAATATTAATGTCATTGATGTAAAACTGGAAGTCAACCCGTTAATTAAACTTTCAGACTCCCTCTTGGGAACGATTGCCCTTCCTGTAAGGAAGCTGGGGGCAAAAGAGGAAGAATGGCAGTGAGATTTTCTGAGGTCTTAAGTTAAAAATTAAATATAAAAAAGTATTATATTTTAAAATTAGTATTCCATAAATTCACCAGGACTTTCAAGAAACACATTTACACTGCAATCTGTAGCCAGGTAAGCAGAGGCGCAGAGAGCCCATAGTCACAGGATGGGTGGGAGGTGAGAGGAAGCCTCGGTCTTGTAGGATCCAGGAGGTGCCAAGTGTAGGTGGCCTGTGCACCTGCTGTGCCTGCCATTCAGAGGGCAGGAACTTGAATGCAGTGCTGATCACATTTTTCTATTCTTTCTTTCTTTTTTTTTCTTTTCTTTCTTTCTTTTTTTTTTTTTTTTTTTTTGACAGGCAGAGTTAGTGAGAGAGAGAGAGAGAAAGGTCTTCCTTCCTTTGGTTCACCCCCCCAATGGCCGCTATGGCCGGCGTGCTGCGCTGATCCGAAGCCAGGAGCCAGGTGCTTCCTCCTGGTCTCCCATGCAGGTGCAGGGCGCAAGCACCTGGGCCATCCTCCACTGCCCTCCCGGGTCACAGCAGAGAGCTTGCCTGGAAGAGGGGCAACCGGGACAGAATCTGGAGCCCCGACCGGGACTAGAACCCGGTGTGCCCATGCCGCAGGTGGAGGATTAGCTTAGTGAGCTGCAGCGCTGGCCGCTGATCACGTTTTTCAAGCCTGGATTTCAAGGGTCCCAGGGTGTGAGTGGGAGATCAGCAGATAGGACCTTTGCCCCAGGGCGTGTGGCTTCCAAGGAAGGGTGCAGACAGACGGGGTTTCAGCTCCATTGACCCCTTAGGAGGAGCCCCTTCTGCACGGCACCCACCTCCCAGGATACAGAGCGGCCCTGCCTGCACTTGACTCGGCAGGGCTAGAAAGTGTTCTCTGTCTTCTCCTTCATTTTGCAATTTATTATTTTTTTTAATATGCAAACTATGGTTGTTTCCCTTGTGATCTTCCTGCTGCAGTTAATCCAGCGCCCAAATTCAGGAGACTACATGTCCAATCTTCCTTCCTTTCTTTCTCCCCCCCCCCCCACAGGCAGAGTGGACAATGAGAGAGAGAGAGAGAGAGAGAGAGAGAAAGGTCTTCCTTTTGCCATTGGTTCACCCTCCAATGGCCACCGCGGCTGGCGCACTGCACCCGGCGCATCGCGCTGATCCGAAGCCAGGAGCCAGGTGCTTCTCCTGGTCTCCCATGGGGTGCTGGCCCCAAGGACTTGGGCCATCCTCCACTGCCTTCCCAGGCCACAGCAGAGAGCTGGCCTGGAAGAGGGGCTACCGGGACAGAATCCGGCGCCCTGACCGGGACTAGAACTTGGAGTGCTGGCGCCGCTAGGCAGAGGATTAGCCTAGTGAGCCGTGGCGCCAGCCCAATCTTTCTTTCATCGAATGACTTCAAGCAAGTAGCTTAACTCCAGAGCTTGATTTGCTTACCAGGAATGGAGAGAGGTTTCCTGGCTTGCTTGCTCTGTGTGTCATGTTCTGTGGGTGAAATAGAGCTAACTAACATAGACCAAGGGTGCTGAGAGGCTAAGCAATATTTCCATTTTCAGAGAAAATGTCCTTCCTGGCCTGGTGCTTTGAGCACTCGTCCTGGTGACCAGGGCTCTTGCTCCTGTAGAACCTCCCCTGGCCTCACCCATCCTGGCCCCAGGCTGAGTCTCTGGTCTTTTGCATGTCCCTCCTTCAGGCAACTTCTACATGTTGATTGGAGTCCGCTCACAAAGTATGAAGGGGCTTCAAGCAAGTTCTGGGAACGTGTGCATTATGAAAAAACTATGCATGGATTTCAGAATATTCTGTATCAAAATAAAGTCCTCTCTTAATTCCGTTTGTCACAAGCTTTGGAAATATCCTTGTAAAACATGAGCTTACGATTCAGGATTTAGAGTTTGCAAGGAATTACAGTTTGGAACTTAATTTTTAAACTTAATATTTTATTAATTAGTTTTGAAGTAATATTTAAGGATTCATCAAATAAAAAGAAGACCATAATCTAGCAGAAAACAATAATCAAATGAAAAAGTGCTCAACCTCACTCATAAATTTTAAAAGTCATAAAATCATTAAAACTATAGTAATATGTATTTCCTATCAATTTGTCTGAAAAGATTTAAGAAAAAGTTTGGCATTGCAATTTAGGACTTTAAAAATGCAGTTATGGGTATAATTTTTATTAAAGCCACAGTTATAAATACAGTTTATACAGCAAACAGGTAAAGTGAACAGTGTGTTAGGCTCACCAATCTAGCAATTTACCCAAATATAAATTTTTTGTTCATCATTTAAGCTTTTAAAAAAATGCAATGCCACTTTATTTACTTGAGGAGGACAAATCCTTAGTGATAAGAATGCTTGGTGGGAGCTCTTCATGTTGACTTTTGCCATTAAGTAGTGAAGAAACCAGTGCCTTGGCTGTGCCTCACAGCAGCCGTTGGGCTGCTGGACATGTTGCCAACAGAGAAAGTCAGCTGTGATTTTTATGCCTGGCTCTCCAGGGCTGAAGCCTGGGAGAAATTGCCAAAGACAGTATAGTTCTAGGCAAGGATTTGTAAAACAAGGCTTGGAAAAACATTAAGAATTATTCAGGATGTTGCTATTTACTGCTACACATTTACTTTGTGAGATTTAAAAAAAACACTTTATATATGACAAACTATTACCAAAGGAACATCGCTTGATTTTTCAGAAGATATTACTGTTAACGTGTGATAGCAATTACCATTGTGTATAATTTAAAGCTTACAAAATACGTTTCTTTCCATGATTATATTTGTGTGTGTGTTTTTTTTTAATTCATTTATTTGAAAAAGTTACAGAGGGAGATAGAGAAAGAGAGAGGTAGGGACAGCTCACTAGGCTAATCCTCCACCTGCAGCGCCGGCACCCCGGGTTCTAGTCCTGGCTGGGGCGCCAATTCTGTCCTGGTTGCTCTTCTTCCAGTCCAGCTCTCTGCTTTAGCCTGGGAGGGCAGTGGAGGATGGCCCAAGTCCTTGGGCCCTGTACACGCATGGGAGACCAGGAGGAAGTACCTGGCTCCTGGCTTCGGATCGGCACAGCGCACCGGCCTTAGTGGCCATTTGTGGGGTGAACCAATGGAAGGAAGACCTTTCTTTCTGTCTCTCTCTCTCTCACTGTCTAACTTTGCTTGTCAAAAAATTAAAAGAAAAAAAAAAAAAGAGAGAGAGAGGTCTTCTATCTTCCATCTGCTGGTTACTTCCCAAATGGCTACAATGGCCAGAGCTGCACCAATCCGAAGCCAGGAGCCATGAGCTTCTTCCAGGTCTCCCATGTGGGTGCGGGGCCCAAGCACTTGGGCCATCTTGTACTGCTTTCCTGGGCACATTAGCAGGGAGCTGGAAGGCATTGGAAGTGGAGCAACTGGGACTCAAACCTTCCACTATTCTATACAAGGGGTTTTAAAAATGCAGGTTTGAAAAAAAAAAAAAAAAACTATGAATGAATTTCAAAAGTTTTTTTGCATCAAAATAAGCTCATCATCTAATGCCAACTTTCCATTCACTTTTTGAAGTAGCCTCATACAGCAACAACAGAGATAAGCAGTCATTTTGAATCTTATTACTAAATTTGTGCAAAGATTGTATCATTTTTTAAAAAGTTGGAATGGTTGACGATAGACACTTGAAATGCAGAGTATGACAAATTTGAAGTGACGTTTTCAAGAGCCACTTCGGAACATCCGTTCATGCTGCCAGTATGCGGTCCCGGAAGTTTTGCTCCAAGCCGACTGTTTGATTTCGCTCACTGTGATTGATTTTGCGGGCAGTTCTCCATGCCAGTATGCTGACACCCAGTGTAAACATCTGTGTTCCTCAGGTGAATTGATCAGTTGGGTGGCACTGGATCGTGAGCATCAGACGCACCACCAGGTGACGGTCCTGGTGACGGACCACGGCTCCCCACCGCGGAACGCCACCATGGCGGTTTATGTCACAGTCACGGATGTCAATGACAACAGGCCCCTTTTCCCACAGTGTCTCCCTGGAGAAGAATTGCACGTCAAGGTTGGTGGAGTGGGGCGGCCTTGCAGTGAATGCAGAATGGGCTCAGTCACTTGTTTTGAGCACCATCTTGTGGTAAAAGCTGTGAATTTATCGAACTCATCTTGGTGTGGCGATGCATACATTTCTAGAAGACCTAGAGATTCTGCACATGCTGTAGAACAAGACAGAGAGAGAGAGAAATGGATGCATGTGCTGTTTGGGTTGGTACCTCTAATTGTTTTATAACAACGAGGAAGTTTGCCCTTTGTATCCAAACACATTGCTTTTATAATGTTTTAATTACAGTTCTGTCGTTTAAACACCCAAAGCTTAATTGCGGAGTTGGCTTCTGAACGTTGGAATTTGAATTCTACACATGCATTTCAATATTCCTGCTCGCTGAGATATGTTGCCTGAAAGACAGGTTCCTATTCCTCTTAAGTGTGTTTTAATCCATCACAACTTTTTAAACAATATCCTTAGAAACTGATAAATGATTCTTTCCCCCAGAATTTGTTGAAATGTTTTGGATAATTCATTCAGATTAAAAAGTGCAGCACTCACTTAGCTCCACATGGTAGACACTTGAATTCTACGTAGGGTTTCCTGTGGGTTCTCAGTACATTTTAAGTAGCTAAACGATGCTGTGTGTGATGCAGACCCTCATTTAAAGGTCTACTATTATACACTAGTGTGTTAAGATGCACCGACTCACCGCAAGCCTTTTGTTTTAATGACAGGTTCTGGAGGGCCAACCCGTAAATATGTTGGTCACAACTGTGTTTGCAAAGGATCTTGATGAAGGAAACAATGCAGAAGTGATCTATTCAGTAGCTTCAGGTAAAAGGCACTGTTCATACAAGGATAAGAATCTACAGAATTCCCTCTTTCTTTTAGCTTGGTACCGTGATTATCCAGATTACCGTAGTTAACTTTGAAAAATAACACCAATTTAGAGATAAAATACATTTTCTTTGTCAAGAATCACAGCTATTTTCTTAAAAAAAGAAGAAGGAAGAAGAAAGAAAGAAGAATTTATTTCAAAACCTTAATGAAAAATCTATGTCCTGGGGCTGGCACTGTGGCATACTGGATTAAGCTGCCTCCTGCAAGACCACCAGTTCGAGTCCCAACTGCTCTGCTTCCAATCCAGCTCCCTGCTGCAGCTGGGAAAGCGGTAGAAGATGGCCCAACTTCTTGGGCCCCTGCACCTGCATGGGAATACCCGGAAGAAGCTCCTGGCTCCTGGCTTCAGTCTGTTGTGGCTGTTTGAGGAGTAAAACAGTGGATGGAATTTCTCTCTGTGTCTCTCTCTGTCTCTCTGTCTGTCTGTCTGTGTGTGTCTCCCTTTCTCTCTGTAACTGTGCCTTTCAAATAAAATAAGCAAATCTTCTTTAAAGAAATCTATATCCTGTTGGGGTGGGGAATATGTGGCCCACAAGCCATATGAAGCCTCATGGAATCATTTGGTCTGGCCCTGCCTAGGCCACTGCAGGCAAGACTCGAAATTCAAATTCAATATATTTTTAGTGTGCTAATTTTAAACTGATAATATTTTATGGCCCATGAATGATGTTATAAAAATGGCTCTTGATAGAAAAAAAAAGATTCCTCACCCCTAAATAGTAACCATCCATCTCTAATGACTAATTTACTGTAAGCTGAAGTACAAATCATCTTTTATTGAAAAGAAGGTGGTAGTTATTGTGTAAGAAGTGGTATTTAACGTGATTGTGAATGCCAAGAATCTGTAAACATCCATGTAGGATACTCTTGAGGTTAGAGTTGATCATACCCAGAAAATGCCACGTATGTGTATCTGCCTATGTATGTAAACATAGGAACTTCATTAAGACAGGCATACTTTTATGTGTGTGTGTGTAAGATCTATCTATTTATGTGAAAGTCAGAATTAGAGAGAGGGGCTGGGGCTGGGACTGGCTGAAGCCAGGAGCTAGGAACTTCACCATGTGGCTGCAGGGACCCAAGCACTCGGCCCATCTTCCTCTGTTTTTCCAGGCTGTTAACCAGGAGCTGGATCAGAAGGAAGTTGAGCAGCTGGGAGCCGGACTTGTGCCCATATGGGATGCCCCTGGTGGCTTTATACTTCACGCTGCAAAACCAGCCCCACTTCTGTGTCTTTATTTTCGTGGTGCAGGCATTAGGTTTGCTCCTGTCATTAAATTTAGTTGGTACCACGTGTTAGGCTATTTTTTAACTTTCTATTTTTTTATTTTTGAGATAGCATATTTTAAATTTGTTACTGTCAAAGGCTTAATACTCCACTAAATAAGGAGTTCAACAAATAAAAAGTAAAATGACCTTAGTTCATCAGGAATATAGGCAACGGCTATAAACAATAACCAAATGAAAATATATCTATTTCATTCATGTGTGCTAAATTTTAAAATAGTCATAGATTATTAAAACTATAGTAGTGTATCATTCCTAACAATTTATTTGACAAAAGTTTAAAACAAAGTTTGAAAAAAAAACCCTAGTGCTTTATAGTATTTTTAAAGACACTGTTTCTTCGTTACATTTGATGCATACATAGGAAAGCAAGAATCAGCATTGCCCCTGCCTGCAGGTGAGCTGATCATCTTCACGCAAGATCCGAAAGATGCTACAGGCAATCACTGGGGCCAAGGTAGCACCTTTCCTGGGCAGCCTGCCAACACCAGAGCTCGCTAGCATTTTAACCACTCAGAACCTTTGAAAAAGAAAGTCCTCATTCACCTTAGTAAATTCACAAAGAAAGGGGCCAGCATTATGGTGCAGCAGGTTAAGCCACCACCTGAGATGTCCACATCCCATGTGAGCACTAGGTTCAAGCCCTGGCTGCTCTGCTTCTGATCCAACCCCCTGCGAATGCACATGGGAAAGCAGCAGAAAATGGCTCAAGTGCCACCCATGTGGGAGACCCGGATTGAGTTCAGGCTGCTGGCTTCCACTAGGCCCCCCTCTGGCTGTTGATTGGGGCATGAACCAGTGGGTAAAAGATGTGTGTGTGTGTGTGTGTGTGTGTCTGTGTGTGTCTGTAACCATGCATTTCAAATAAATAAATAAAAATCTAAAAAGAAAAAGATTCATAAGGAAAAGTGTAGGGTGTAGCACAGACTTACTGTAAGGGAACGAAACGTGGGTTTCAGAGGTATTCATTAGTGTGGTATTCATTTGTGAACTGTTTTACTGAGTTGCCCAAAAAGGAGATGGGAGAAAGTTTCTCTTTATTGAAATAATCCAGCTAATCAATGCAGAAGAGACAATAAACCAGAATACTACGCTTTGCAACACTTAATGAACCCTTAGGGGATCTGGGCTGTGTATCAACAAGGGCCAATATTGGCAACAAAAGGCAGCCAGACACATACCTCTGAAGGGAAGCACAGCATGTGTGATGTAATCTTGCCAAAAAAAAAAAAAATCAAGCCTGAGCCTAGAGAGTTCTCTAGTTTTACCGCCCAATTTAAATAAAACACATTGGACAGAGGAACTTCATAAACTATGTACTGGAGATGCAGCAGCCAAATCTAGATAAACATGATGCTGTTTTTTCAACCAGTGAATTGCAAGGGAAAAAGGACTCAAATGGCAAGAATCTATAGACTGAAGAACTATGCAATAAATGGACTTAATTTTGATCCTAATTGGAACAAAAAATACAAAGATATTCGTGAGATGATTACATGTATTAAAGCTTATTGGGCATTTGATGATATTAAGAAGTCCTTTTTAAAAGTGTAATATGCTCCTGTAATTTTGTTAAAATAGTCCTTATCTTTTGGAGATGCACTTGAAATATATACAGAGGAAATAATGTGACTTCTGTGACTTGTTTCAAAAGAAAATTGGGGACGGGGAGTATAAAAATGGCACATTAAATAAGACTGCCCATGAATTGATTGTTATTGGCACTAGCTGGTGGGCATATGTGAGTTCATTTTATCATTCTCCTTTTTTATATGCTTGAAAATTCCTATAATAATATTTTCAAAGATCTGAAATATTTCTTGCCTATGAGTTAGTGCGATTTTACCTTCGCTCTTGCAGATGATCATAGAGATGTTGGATTCACTGATTCTCTGTTTTCTGCCTTGTCAGTCAACACTGACTTCTCACTTTTGTGTCTGTGTGTGTAGACCAATCTGATCACTTTAAGATTGACGCCAACAGCGGTGAAGTAAGAACAACCAGGATCCTTTCATACGATCATCGAGCCTCCTACAGGATGACTGTTGTCGCCAGTGATCAGGGAGTTCCTCCTCTTCAGGGGCAGGCAGTTGTTAATATTCAGGTAAAGTCATCCCGGTAAAACGCAGATGGGTATTCTGAAGGTTTCATTTGATACTGAGAGAGAGAGGTATCTCCCATTTACTGGCTTACTTCCTAAATGGCTACAATGGCCCGAGCTGGGCCGGGCCAAAGCCAGGAGCTTCCTCCAGGTCTCCTACTTGGGAGCAAAGACACAAGCATTCAGACCATTGTCTGCTGTTTTCCCAGGTGCATCAGCAGGGAGCTGGATTAGAAATAGAACAGTTGGGACTTGAACCGGTGTGCACATGGGTTGCCTTTGTTGCAGACAGAGGCTTAACCCACTATATCACAACACTGGTTCCTCATTTCATTTTTATGCAGGCATCTAGAGTGACAATACAGTCAATGCATGAGTATTATTTTAAGAACACATCATACATATGTATTTACCATTTTGTTTTTACTTGCAGAGTATTTAGATCTAAATAATTTAAAAATTAGCTTTATACAGTACTTGACAAGATGTTCATTGCTGCAAGAGCATTTGTGTTGCTTTACGTTTAACAAATGTGTCTTGCCTTTCACTTACTCCTAGCTTTAAGGGCCTAATAAATTTGTGGGAGAATTTAGTATGTAAACACATGGCCATGTGATAAATCACATTGTGTTTTCTTTTGCACTTTTTTAAAGCTTAGCAAAGTTGCTCAAGACATGTATTTGAGGACTTACCTTTAATTGTAGAGAGTGAACAAGTTGTAGGAAGTTTTCTTAGTAAGAAAAAAAAGTAACACAAACCAGTCAAAAATAAGGTGACCATGCATAACTAGATATTTTTTTTTGCTGATGCACGTGGTAATCAGTGTGTGTGTGTGTGTGTGTGTGTGTGTGTGCATACTCAAAATTATGTGTCCCAAAGAGTTCTATTTCTAAATTATATACTTTCCTAGATTAAATATATGTGGGTTTTGAGAAAAGTCTACAAGGTCATATTTCAAGTTTCTTGTTTTGAAGACACGTGATCCTTCAATGTAAAGAGATGACCTTGTGGGTAGACTGGTCTCCAGGATTTAGAGCACTCGTGAGCCTGCATTTGCAGTGAAGAACACCACGGCCACCATTCCACTCAGCTGTTGCACGGCCTCACCATGCTTTCATTTCACCTGTTACAGCAGACAGAAATGTGGAAAATTCTGTCGCACCTTGCCAGTTTTCCGTCTTCTGAGACATCCTGGGATTATATGATAGAAAAAAGGCTTTCTCAGCAATTAACATATGTACATCACACAAAAGAAAAGGAATTAGCTTTTATACTATCATAGCATGTGTTGGCTCAACTGTCTTTAAAAAATACCCCAAACTAACAGCTCCATTTTGTTCTTGCTTTAGGTGATACCACTGTCCACAGGGAGAGTTACCATTGCTCAGAATATCAGACATTTAGTTATACCAGAGAACTTGAAGCCTGCCAAAGTGATGAGCTTGAGAAAGCCCCCGGATCACCTCCAGCATCATAATGGAAAGTTGCATTTTAGCATCGCTGCAGATGACAGCGACGGTCCCTTCGACGTCGACAGCACAACAGGAGACGTGTTCCTTGCCAAAGAACTTGACTATGAATTTAGATCTCATTACCTTTTCCGAGTGGTCGCTAAAGACTATAGCAGGGACCCCATCCCGAGCAGCACGGTCTTCCTCAGTATCGACGTGGAAGATCAGAATGACCACTCCCCGTCTTTCCAGGAAGAGCTCATTGTGATAAGCGTGGAAGAGAATGTCCCCATTGGGACTCTGGTATACGTCTTCAATGCCAAAGACGGCGATGGCAGTTTTTTGAACAGTAGAATTCAATACTCCATTGAATCCCACCACCCTGGAGTGAATCCATTCCTCATCCACCCCTCCTTCGGCACACTGGTCACTGCAGCTGCCCTGGACAGAGAGAGTGTTGCCACTGTCACCCTGACAGTGACTGCGTCTGACCAAGCTGTGAACGTGACGGACCGGCGAGTGGCATCCCTCATTGCCAAAGTCGTGATTCTGGATGTAAATGACCACAGCCCCACCATTGTGTCTTCCCCTGTTGCCCACGTCAGAGAGGATGCAGTGGTGGGCTCCTTGGTCCACCGTGTCACTGCTCGAGACCCAGATGCGGGCAGGAATGGAAAAGTCACATACAGCATCCTCTCGGGAAATGAAAACAAGGCCTTTGCGTTAGACAAGTCATCAGGTGCGGTGTCCTTCATGGCGTTTTCTAAAATTCTTGTTATATTTTATTGTGGTGAAAAAACTTAGCATGGGTCCTACTCCCTGGACGAAGTTTTAAAGGTACAGTACGAATCTGTTGACTCTGGGTATCGTGTTGCATAGCAGGTCTCTAGATCTTGTTCATCTTGCATAACTGAAACTTGAGCCCCCCACCCCCACCCCCCTCCATTCAGCCTGTGACATCCACAGTTCCATTCTTTGATTCTATCTGACTCTTTTAAATACCTTATGTAAGTGGACTCATGTAGCATTTACCTTTCTGGGGCTGGCTTATTATACCAAGGCTAATGTTCTCGAAGTTCCTCCATGTTGTGACATACTGCAGAATTTTTTTATTTGCTAAGGTTGAAGAGTATTCCATTGTTTTTTTTTAAATATTTTATTATATTTAAAAGAGAGTTACAGAGAGAGGTAGAGACAGACAGAGGTCTTCCATCCGCTGGTTTACTCCCCAGATAGCTGCAACGGCCAGAGCTGTGCCGATGCGAAGCCAGGAGCCAGGAGATTCTTCCGGGTCTCCCATGCAGGTGCAGGGGCCCAAGGACTGGGGCCATCTTTTACTGCTTTTCCAGGCCATAGCAGAGAGCTAGATCAGAAGAGGAGCAGCCGGGAATAGAAGCAGCACCCAAATGGGATGCCAGTGCTTCAGGCCAGGGCTTTAACCTGCTGTGCCACAGCACCGGCCCCAAAGAGTATTCCATTGTGTGTGTTTACCAGATTGTTCTTATCCACTCAGAATGCCGGTAGACATTTAAGTTGTTTCCTCATCTTGGTCACTGTGAACAGTGCTACAGTGAACCTCGTAGTGCTACTGTTTTTCAAGACTAATTTCAATTCTTTTGGACAAATATCTAGAAGTGGAGTTGTTTGTTTTATATGGTAGCTCTGTTTTTAATTTTTAAAAGTATTTATCTATCCATTTATTTATTTGAAAGGCAGAGAGAGCGCACCCCCAACTACTGGTTCACTCCCCAAATGCCTACAGTGGCCGCTGGCAGAGCCTGAAGCCAAGAGCCAGGAACTCAATCCGTGTCCCCCCAGACAGGTGGCAGGAGCCCAATTACTTGAGCCACTCTGTGCCTTCTCCCAGGACATGCATTCGCAAGAATCTGGAGTCAGAGACTGGAGCTTGGTGTCAAACTCTGGTCCCCTCGTGTGGGGTGCAGGAGTCCCAGGAGATGTCTTAACCCCTATGGCCAATGTCCACCCTTAGTTTTAGTCTTTTTGAGGAAACTCTACACTGGTCTACACAGTGGCTTCAACAGTTTTCATTCTCATTAGTGGTGTGCAAGGGTTCTAGGACTTCCACATTCTACTAAACACTTCTGTCTTTTTTTTTCTTCCTAAAAATTATTTTGTTCACTTTATTGAAGAGAGAGAGAGACCCACACACAAACAGGTCTTCCATCAATTGATTCACTCCCCGTATGCTCACAACAGCCAGCCCAGGGCCAAGGCAGAAGCCACAAACTATCAACTCAAGGCAAGTCTCCAACAAGGGTGTTAGGGACCCAACTCCTTGATCCATCACCTGCTGCCTCCCAAGATATACATTAGCAGGAAACTGGAGGCAGGATCTGGAGCCAGGACTCAAACCCAAGAACTCTGACATGGGCTACGGGCATCCCAAGTGGTCTCTTAACCGCTATGCCAAATGCCTGGCCCTTGTTTTTCCTAATACCCATCCTGATAGTTGTGAGATGACGTCTCACTGTGATTTTGATGTGCATTTCCTAATCACCAATGACATTGTACATTATTTCATATATCTGTTGGCCATTTGGATGTTGTCTTTGGAGAAGTGTCTATTCAGGTTCATTGTCCATTTTTCAGCCAGATTATTTAAAAAGTTTTTTTTTTTTTTTTTTTGCTTTGAAAGTCAGAGTGACAGGGAGGGAGGAGGAAGAGAGAACAGAGAAAAATCTTTGATCTGCTGGTTCACTCCCCAAATGACTGCAATGGCCACAGCTGGTCCAGGCCAAGGCCAGGAGACCAAAACTCCAAAATGATCTCCCACATGGGTGCAGGGGCCCAAGCACTTGGGTCATCTTTCACTACCTCCCAGGCACATTAGCAGGGCGCTGAGTCCCAGCCACTCCACTTCTGATCGAGCTCTGCTGTGGCCTAGGAAAGCAGTGGAAGATGGCCCAAGTCTTTGGGCCCCTACACCTGCGTGGGAGACCTGGAAGAGAACAGCTCTGGCTTTGGATCAGTGCAGCTCTGGCCATTGTGGCTATTTGGGGAATGAACCAGCAGATGGAAGACTGTCTCTCCCTCTCTCTCTCTCTCTCTCTGCCTCTCTGTAATTCTCCCTCTCAAATAAATAAATAAAATTTTTTAAAAAAACATATGTTAGTTTAAAAATATTCTTCCCATTCCATAGGTCGCCTTTTCCCTTACTGGGAAGAAGATGTTCAGTTGTGTGTTGTACCATTATTTGATTTTGTAGCCTATAGTTTTGTTATCATGTCCTTGAAGCCGCTGCCAAGACCAATATCAGTGAAGCTTTTTCTCTATGCTTTTTCCCAGGAGTCTTATAGTTTCAGGGCTTACATTTAATTCTGTAACCCATTCTGAGTTTATTTTACATACAGTATAAAACAAGTGCCCTGCTCATCTTTGGCATGGGGACATACAATTATTCCAAGATTGCTTGTTGAAAAAATTGTCCTTTCATTTTTGTGTATCCCTGGCACCCTTGTCCAGCATCAGTTGATCACATACATTTGGATTGGTTTAAGAGCTGTGTACTCCATTCCATTAGTGTTTATGTCCTTCTCTGTGCAAGTACATACTGTTTTGATTCCTGTAGCTTTGTAATATGTTTTGAAATGAGGAAGTGTGATGCTTTATTCTTCTTTCTTAAGATTTTGTTGGCTATTTGGGATCATTTCAGATTGCATATGAATTTTGTGATTGTTTTTTCTATTCAAAAATGAGACAAGAATATTCATAAAGATTGTATTGAATCTATAGATCCTTTTAACAGCATGAGCATTTTAATAATGTTAAGTCTTGCACATCATGAACACAGGATATCTTTCCATTCGATTGTGTCTTTATTAATTTCATCAGTATTTTGTGGGTTTTAGTATACAAGTTTCTCATCCCATTATGTTTATTCTGAAGAGTTTAATTCCCTTTGGTATTATTATCAGGAAGGTTGCTTCTCTAATTTCCTTTTCAGGTACTTCCTTGACTTTTGTATGTTGATTTTGTGTCCTGCCATTCTGCTAATTTAGTGGAGTCTTTTTTTTTTTTAAGATTTATTTGTTTATTTGAAAGTCAGAGTTACACAGAGAAAGGAGAGGCAGAGAGAGAGAGAGAGGTCTTCCATCCAATGGTTCACTCCCCAATTGGCTGCAATGGCTGGAGCTGCGCCAATCCGAAGCCAGGAGCCAGGAGCATCTTCTGAGTCTCCCACGTGGGTGCAGGGGCCCAAGAACTTGGGCCATCTTCCACTGCTTTCCCAGGCCATAGCAGAGCACAGAATCAGAAGTGGAGCAGCTGGGACTTGAACTGGCACCCCTATGGGTTGCCGGCACTGCAGGTGGTAACTTCCCTCGCTACGCCACAGTGCCGGCCCCTTGGTGGTCTTTAGGTCATCTATATATTAAATCATATTGGTTGCCAGCAGGGACCATTTTACTTCTACCATTTCAATTTAGAGAATTTTTATTTCCTTTTCTGTCACTTTTAATTAATGTCTCTCATCATTTGCTTAGATTAATCCTTTCACTTTCCTCTTTAAATTTTCTTTTAAAATTTTTTTTAATTTGAGAGACCCCCCACCCCCATCTACTGATTCACTCCCCAGATGCCTGCGGTAGTCAGGACTGGGCCTGAGTGAAGCTGGGAGTCAGGAACTCAATTCAGTTCTCCCCTGGGGATGGCAGGAACCCAGTTACTTGACACATAACCACTGTCTTCCAGGGCTCCCATTAGTAGACATGCTGGAGTCAGGAGCTGGACTGGGAATGAGCCCACACACAGCAGTATACGATACAGTCTTCTTTGCTGGCACCTGATTCACTAGGTGTGATACCCACCCCCATGTGCACTTTAAATTCCTGGCTTGGGGGAGGCATCAGGCCTCATGAAAAAAGCCCACATCTCAAATCACAGTTCCTCGGCTGAATCCCAGCTCTACTTCGGATTCCAGACACCTGCTAGTGTACACCTTAGAGGCAGCAGGCAGTGGCTCAAGTACCTGGGTCCTGGTCCCCCACATGGGAGACCCAGATTAAGTTTCAGGATCCTGGATTCAACTTGGCCTTGCTCTGGCTATTGCAGGCATTTGGGGAGTGAACCAGTAGAGGAAAGATTCCTTGCCCCCTCCCCCAACAGAACAAAAGGCCTGTTAGTGTACCCACGTCCTGTACTGGACTATCTGGGTGTCTGCGTATGGTTCCAGGCTCCAGCTTCTGACTCCAGCTTTCTCCAAAGACGACCCTGGAAGGCAGTGGTGATGGCTAAGTCAAGGGTTCCTGCCACCTGCGTGGGAGACCTGGATTGAGTTTCTGCTCCCAGCTTCAGGCCCAGTTGCTGACATCCGGGAGTAAGCCAGGGGATGAGGGAACGTGTTCTCTCACTGTTTCTGTGTGTCTCTCTCCCCATATACATATTTACATCCCAAATAGATTAATGAAAATCTTTTGACTTGCTATACCTTCAATTTACACAAATATGTAGAATAAGCACAGTGGTAGTACCATCTTTGGAGAACCAATTTCAGTCGGCCTGTTTCTTGATATTAACTACGCCTTATAGCTAGCTCTTTTTTTATTTATTTGGCAGGTAGAGTTATAGACAGTGAGAAAGAGAGAGATAGGTCTTCCTTCTATTGGTTCACTCCCCAAATGGCTGCTAAGGCCAGCGCTGTGCCAATCCAAAGCCAGGAGCCAGGTGCTTCCTCCTGGTCTCCCATGTGGATGCAGGGCCCAAGCACTTGGGCCATCCTCCACTGCACTCCCTGGCCACAGCAGAGAGCTGGACTGGAAGAGGAGCAACTGGGACAGAATCTGGCGCCCATATGGGATGCCAGCACCGCAGGTGGAGGGTTAACCAAGTGAGCCACGCGCCGGCTCCTATAGCTAGCTCTCGTTTCATGAATATACGATGGCAAACATCCTTGTCTCCACTGTGGGTCCCCACAGGACAGAAGATTTTACCAAGTTAAGAAGATGACAGATCCACAGCATTATTCAAAGATGTCATTATGAAAATTTATCTTTTAGAGCCCGCAGGCATGTGTCTGTTAAATGGTAGGAAATAATATATGAAATGTTTGCCTGTTGAATTCATTTGCACAGTGAGACCCTCTCTTTCACATCAGTTGGGACCTTTTATTTTTCTCAGAAGCATTCACTCACAATCAAGTACTCTCTAGAAATGTCACTCACTGTCACTTAACTTCTCCTGCTGACACTATGGTGCCAGATAATCCACCATACATTTTCATGTGGATTTTTTTTTAGAAACTTATTTATTTGAACAGCAGGGTTTTATAAACAGAGGGAGAGACAGAGAGAGATTGCTATTCTATCCACTGTTTACTCCCCAAATGGTCACAACAGCCAGGGCTGGGGCCAGGCCAAAGCTGGGAGCCAGGAGCTTCTTCCAGGTCTCCCACATGGGTGGCAGGGGCCCCAACACTTGGGCCATCTCCCACTGCTTTCCCAGGCTCATTACCAGGTAGCCGGATCGGAAGTGCAGCAGCCTGGACAAAGACCAGCATGCCTGTGGGATACCAGCATCACAGGCAGTGCTTACCCCACCACACCACAACATTGGCCCCTTCATGTGCTTTTTTTCAAAGAAGTGATACTATGATTGTAAAATTCATTTATTTTCATTTTATTTGAAAGGCAAAGAGACAGAAATTTTCCATTTTGTGGTTCAGTCCCCAAATGCTTGCCCCAGCCAATGCTGGGCCAGGCTTAACTCAGGTACCCACAGCTTAATCCAGGTCTCCCATTTGGGTGGCAGGGACTCATGTACTTGATCCATTACTGCTGCCTCCCAGAGTGCATTGCAGGAAACCAAAGTCAGAATCAGAGCCAGGATTTGAACCAAGACACTCTGATGTAGGGTGCGGTATCTTAACCACCTTGCCAGATGCCCTCCCAAATCTTTATGTAGTCTGATAGAAGAGTGTAAGGACAACGTGTCTGCCTTGTGAATTCTGAAATAAACTTATCTCTGCCTGATTCTTCAGGGGATATTGGAAAATTAATGGATCATCATTGCATTTTCTGAAAAAAATAAAATCATTCACACATGAGCCTAAAAAATAAATCTCAGATGTATAGCATCTGGCCCAACTGTTAGAGCATTATTGGAGTTGAGACTGCACATGTAGGATTTGGATGTCATGGCTGTAGCCTGGCTATATTCTGCTGGGAAATTTCATCAAAATATGTATTAAATCCTGTACATATGGTTCCATTCTGAGGTTTGTGTGGACACCACCTACATGTCCACTGACAGATAGCCCAGACACAGGCTGCTGACTGCTTGTGGCGCTGGGGCTCCCCACGGGCCTGTTTCAGCAGGACTCAGAACGTCTTCCAGGATGGCTGGGGAAGGTCTGTTTGAGACACGACTAGCATTGTGTCTCAGTGCTAGAAGCACCGTGGATTTCGAGCAAGCGCACTTGCTGTTTAAACGTCATTGAGACGTTCTTGAAAGACATCAACTGATACTCGCCAAATGTGCGCATAGGAGATGGCATGTGTTTTTTTCTTGCGTAAGGCTCAGATTTCTTTTTTCTTGTATTTTCACTTTTTCTTAAACTTTTATTTAGTAAATATAATTTTCCAAAGTACAGTTTATAGATTACGATGGCTTCCCCCCCATAACTTCCCTCCCACCTGCACCCCTCCCATCTCCTGCTCCCTCTCCCATTCCATTCACATCAAGATTCATTTTCAATTATCTTTATATACAGAAGATCGATTTAGTATATACTAAGTAAAGATTTCATCAGTTTGCACCCACACAGAACATAAAGTGTAAAATACTGTTTGAGTACTAGTTATAGCATTAATTCACATTGTACAACGCATTAAGGACAGAGATCCTTCATGGGGAGTAAGTGCATAGTGACTCCTGTTGTTGACTTAACAATTTGACACTCTTGTTTATGTCTTGCATAAGGCTCAGATTTCTTATATAGAAGACACAGTGAATTTTTCAGTGGCTATGGCCATGAAGAATAAAATGACCTGTAATTACTGAAAAACAATCTCATAAAATCTGATTCAGTCAACACCTTTAATTATTTGAAGAAAAGTTGTTATAGGATAGCAGGAGCAAGCAGCAATCCTGGAAAGAAAAATGTGAAAATTTGTATCCTATAAAGGCTACATGAGTTATACTGCTATAGGGCAGCAGATAGAGAGAACATCTTATTTGTGACTTATTGTCATGAATATCTTTGTTCTTCACTGTTAGTTTTAAAAAGACAGTCAAATGTCTTAGAGAATGTGGTTGCAATTTTGTAACTTTTTCACCTTTAAATTAGATGTATCATGTGAGATGAAAATTCTGTTATTAATATCATAGATATATTTTAAAATGAAGGTTAATGTTGGGTAGGTAGTTAATTTTTAGGGTGCAATTCTCTCAGTTGATGGTATAGAATAGATATTGTAACTGGGATGGGTTTTCTTTCTCTTTTTAAAAATTTGTATTTGCTTTCCTTTTTATTTGAAAGGCAGAGAGACATAGAGATCTTCCATTCAGTGGTTCACTCCCCAAATGCCCACCACAGCCAAGATAGCCAGGCTGAAACGAGGAGCCAGGAACTGCATCTGGGTCTCCTATATAGGACACAGGGATCCAAATACTTGGGCCATTACCTGCTACTTCCTAGGAAGCACATTGCCAGAAACCACGTAGCCAGTGCTCAAAACAGGCACTCCCATGTGGGATGTGGGCATTCCTAGAGGGACTTAACCCCTGTACTCAATGCTGGCCCCTTGGGGTGACTTTTCAAACTAAAGACATTAACATTTTATTCTACTAATGTATAAGTTTAGTGTGATTCATTCTTTACCAAATAAACATCGGAATCATTATCAAGTAAAAGATAAGGGGAAGTAAGCTTGACGTCTATAAAGAAGACTCGTTACATACTGCCTCTCTTCTCTTTCCAAACAGGCTTACTGACCACCGCCTGCCCCTTGGATTATGAAACTACAAGTCAGCACACACTGACCCTGCTGGCGCTGGACAATGGCATCCCTGCTCTCTCCTCCTCCCAGACCTTGACCATCACCGTGCTCGATGTAAATGATGAGGCACCAGTGTTTAAGCAGCGTGTGTATGAAGCTTCAGTTAAAGAAAATCAAAGTCCAGGTGAATTTGTCACACGGGTTGAAGCTGTGGATGGAGATTCAGGTAATTTAAAAAGGTGGCAAGTAGGTCATTAGTACTAAATGAAAAACACTCAAGGGTCTTAACTGGCATAATTTAAAGCAGTTATGGCCCAGAAAAAAAATGAACAGCTGCTTTTATCTCAGACTTTAAACACTTTTTTCCCTTGTATACATATGATAACACATATACACATAAAGATAATGTGTGCTCTTATATAGCGTTTGCTTATACTGGTCTTTATTATTATGTTAGAGTGTTACACACTTAATTAACATGTAGCTTATTGATATGATTTTGACAGTAAGCAGAAGTATAGACAAAGCATTGCGTATTGTTCTTGGTGAAATAGAAACATTGAGCAATGAAGGTAAGTGACTCTTACCTTTCCATATTTATATACAGCATAATGGAAGAACTGGGGTGCCCTCATCAGACTGCCTGGGCCTTTGCTTTTGTTTTAGTTTGTTTTCTCAGCTATCAGCTGCCTGCGTTTGAATCCTAGAATTGCCACTTATTTAAGTCGCATAACATTGATCAGGTTACCAATTCTGTCTGTTGTTCTACTTGTCTGTAAAATGGCGATAAGAGCAGAGCCCAATTTGTAGTTCCGTTATGAAGGTGAATGAGTTAATAATACATGTATAGAGTATAGACAAGTGCTTGGCACAACAAATGGGTAATAAATGCTGCCCTCTGCCATCACTATTGCTACCACTCCTCCTCCTCCTCCTCTACCTCCTCCTCCTCCTCTTACTCTGTTATTATCATCATTAACTACTAGATCCAGATAAACAACTTAGAATCAAACAGCTACTCTGACTAGGAATTTATAAATTTCTTAGGCTGGCTTTTCAATATCATTGTGACATTTTTGGCATTTGAATTTCAGTAGCTTTAATGCTATGTCATTTCTATTTGAGATAAAACAATAATAATTATAATGTGGTGCTTCCTAATCATAGCATTTTCTGTATTTTCACATCTGAAATCATATGCATGGTCTGATAAGGTAGTCTTTTAAAATTTACATTCGTAGATGTAGGTAGCATTATGCATTGATATATTATGTTCTGTTCTTACACAAGAATTGTAATAGGTATATGTAATAGGTATGTCTGTGGAATTAATGGTGTTAACAGTCATATTTCCCCCTTACTTGTTAATCAAAGAGGTAAAAGGCACATTTGCTGGCACTTTTAGACTAAATTACATACCTCCGGATCCTTTTCCCATTTGGAAAACATCATCTTTTAATGAGACACCTTTTACATGAATTTGCGTGTAATGCTAGAAACACTTTCAAGGGCCGACCTAATTTTCTCCTTTTTGACCAGAGTGGGGCAGTATGAACAAAGAATTTTTCTCAGTGTGCACCAAGACACATGACTAGAACATGCTAACAAGTTTGTATCCCAATCTGTGCTTAAAGAATTTCTGTAGCACATTTCTGGCAGCCTTCGTCGTGAAGGTGTTTGAAGCAGTGGTGAGCATACACAAGCTTTGTGTTCCACAGTGATGTCAGTGCAGCAAAGTTCTCTTGGAGCAGTCTCTGTGGTCAGCAGACCCACCCAGGGCTCTCGGCAACATGAAAACCACTGTCCAAAGTATGGGAAGTAAAACTAAATTTACGTTGTTGTAAACAATTTTGAAATCCATGCATTGTTTTTTTTTCTTAATATGCATTTTCTATAAACTTTTTGAAAACCCTACCTATGCATAGGATTTCACATTTTTCCCCCTACATTGAAATTTAACATAATTTCGATTCCATTTTCTCATGAACTTTTCAAATCACCATCAAATACTGAGTCTGTTGCTCTTCTGTGACTTAACACTCATTAAGGTATATGAAAATGCTTCTCCTTGGCCTTACTTTATTTTAGACATTTTATTTTTCTGTAATGAATCCTAACTGACAGATTTTCTTTTGCTTTAATGTTTGAAGAGGGAGAAAGGCATTTCTCTTAAATTTCTGCACATATCAGCTATGAGTGATTATCATGAATATGCGTTTCTGATTTCTGCCTTCAAGTTGCCTACTCTTAGTGTTGTTCTGTTTAGAGTGAAAGTCTATAGCCTGTTAATTATAATTGAATTGAAAGTTCATTATTCTAGAGAGTACAGTTTGCCAGCTGAGAATTTAGATGCAAAATTATTGTTTTTCTGGCTTGGCTGTTTGAAAATACACACGAACATCTTTGCTCTCCTAAGTCCCATGTACCCTTACATGTGTTGGAGACGATTTTGAATTCCTGGAAATCTCAGTATTTTTAATGAGGCCAGATCTGTTAAGCAGGTGGTTACATAAATACATGTGAATACTTGTGTGTATGCGTGTGCTTTTGAATATATTTTTCCCTAGATTTTTTTTTGTTATTTGGTTGAAACAATGAAATAGGATTATGCATGAGAATTAAATGATGTAGTCAACATTTTAACATAACTGGCATCACGTTGGAATTTATGAATGGTTTACTTTATAGTATGTATTTTTTTTAGAATACTGTACCGTTACTTGATGCTAGAGAGCGTAACATATGTTTTCAGGCATTCTGCATCGCAGTTGCAAACACTGAGTGTACAGCGGCGTTCGGCGCTCCAAACCCACAGGGATTTGAGCGCTGAATGTTTATGGTGTATGACTCACACTAATTCTAACAGGAGTCTCTGCTTGTATTAAAAAGGAAAAAAAAAAAAAAAACAACTGCCAGATTTTAACTAAGGTATTAAAACTGCTACAGCATTTGGTGCCACCAACAAGAGCTCCATTGTTGGTGAGAAAATATCAACCCCGCACACCCCTCTCCTGCTCCCTGGAGAAAAGGGTGCCCCAGCAGGGAAGAAGATTCATGACTGGCCCTTAAATTTGCTCCATCCCCCTCCGTGACTGCAGCGTTATTGAACGCTGCATTCTCCTATGGAAATTTAGAATCAGTTAATGTGCTGTTTCTCTCCATTTCAGAAAATGTATTCTTCTGGGGGTCTTGTTGAATAGACTGTACATCTGGTTTCCATGGTGGTCGCACACTGTGCTAGGCATACAAGCACGTGTGGAAATCAGTTCTAAGGATACGAGACCCACTTGATGGACATATTGCCTGAGTAGGTGACACAGGGAAAACATCACTCCCTAGAGGCATGGATTGTAAACATTAAACAGAACAGCCAACTTGAGTGGTTACTGGTGTGAGAGGGCTTTTTTTTTTCTTAAAGATTTATTAATTTATTTTTTCTTTTATATATTTATTTGAAAGAGCACGAGAGTGAGAGAGAGATCTTCAACCTGCTGTTTCACTCCCCAAGTGGCCACAACTGCTGGGCCCTGGAGTCTGGAATTTCGTCTGGGTGTTCTACATGGGTAGCAGGCACCCAAGTACATGAACTGCCTTCCACCGCCTTCCCTGACAAATTAGCAGGGAGCTGGATCAGAAGCAGAGCAGCTAGGACTCAAATTGGTGCTCTAATATGGGAATGCTGGTGTTACAAGCAGTGACTTAACCCACTGTGCCGAGATTATTTTAACAAAATACTGTGCATTCTCATAGCTAAACATCCTTATTCTTTATCTTTTAACAAATTCCAAAGGATATACAGAGGGTTACCTTACTCGCACAACTGCAATTTAAGCCTACACTTAGAACTGAAGAGAATCTCAGCAGTTCATTGAATCTGAGACACTATTAGTTATAAGATTCATTTCAGAAATGTCAACATCTGATAAAAAGTGTCTTAAAATTAATGAAATGTAGCCAATAGGAATTCCTTGTTGTAGCCATTGTAAAGCATCTAGTAGGCATGTAGCTTTACCCTCATGGGAAATTAGATTCCCCAGGTTTATGCCAGTGAAAGTTAGAAAAATCTTGCTACTCTTCTGACTGAGTTGGATTTGAACTTGGCTGCAATGCAGTATGTTGCAGTCTGACACTGGTTATCTCTGTTCATGTGAATAGGCATACCTTAACAAGGTGCCTGTTGAATCTGTCACTCATTTTGGGTGTGATCATCAGAGAGATTAATTCTAGGATTCCCAGTGAAACTTCCTGGTCTCCAACTGTGACCTGAGCTGCAGGTGTAAAGCATCACCTTGTAATTTTATTTAAGATTCTCATACATTCAAAAGCAGTCATTCTATAGCATATGAGGACATTTCAAAAAATTGGGGGAAAATGGGGTTAAAGAATAAGTTTATTTCCATGCAAAAAATTTTTTAAATCCATGCAGATTTTTTTCACACTACACATTTCCTGTGTGCTTTTGGATGACCCCCAAATAATGCTTTTTTTACCATCACGTGACCAATGTCAATGCCATTTGGGTCTCTAAGGAACCTGAGTCCTTTAAGTTAAGTTCTTTATTGAAGGACCCCAATTCTTTTATCCCAAACACAGGTGATAGTTTAATTAATCTTGATGACACACAATAGAATACTGGTAACTCAGTATTCTATTGTGTGTCATCAAGATTAATTAAACTATCACCTGTGTCACCAGTATTCTATTGCCCAAGGCAAGGAGCACTGCACTGCATTAAGACCAAAGACACAAGCAAAGCAGCACTAGAATCCCTGCTACCTGAGACCCACAGCTGGTGCAGACCCCCTACCGATCATCTGGTCAGGAACTCCAGAGGCTGCAGTGCATGTGTTAGATAACGGAGTAAGCCAAAAGAGGACCCCAGGGTAATTCAGAAGAGTGACTCCAGGAAGCTCCTCTGCCACTAGTTCCTGGAGACAAGGGGAGGTTTGGATCCTCAGAACCGAGGAAGAAAATGAGAGAGGAGGCCTTGCAGATCCTCGTTCTGGGAGTGCCTGGAAGAGGCTGATGAGCATTGCAGATAGGGACCACAGCAACCAGGAGGAAGGAAAACCTGCTTCCTCCCTCTCTGTCTCTCAGTTTCCTAGTGTCTCTGTGGCCAATTGTTCCTGGGGGATGGAGACCCCTGCTGGCCACGAGGAACTGCAGTCTGCACGTTCCCAGAGCCCCACGTCACAACAAAGAGGATAGAGGAATGGATTGAAGTCTGGGAGGCAAGAGTTTAAAAGCTAGCGCTCCGTGTGAATAACAGACAGAGGAGCAGGCAGAGGGCACTGTGACCACGGACCCCAACCGGAAGACACTTGGCCCATTTGAACAGGAGGGAAGCCACTGAGCCAGGAGTAACGCAGGGGAGCAAGTTCGTGAGAAGCTGTTGGGGAAATAAGCAACAGCCACAGTATCTGGGGTGCTGTAGGCTGTGGTAAGGTGTTCAGATGTTATGTATTTGCACATAATTGTCATATTTATGGGGAACCCTATGATGTTTCAATACATGCATGCATTGTGTAATGTTCAAATCGCTATAAACATATCTATCTCCCCAAATACGTATCATTTCCTTATGAGAAAACACTCAAAATCCTTTCTTCCAGTGTTTATTTTTAAGAAAATGCACAGTATATTATCATTATCTATAATCATCCCGCTCCTCAGTAGAATACAGGACTTCTCCTGTCTGAGTTAATCAGCTTCTTCCCATCCCTTTCTACCTCCTAATCTGTACCTCTGTGAGATCAACTTGGTTACAAATGACTGAAATCATTCAGTACTTATCAGAATTGTAGTTGGAGTGCATTCCAACACCCTTCCCTCATTTCATTAGCTCTTATTCATCTTTAGGATCTCAGGTTACATAGAAGGCAACTGAATTTACGTAGAATCCAAGTTGTTTCTCTGTTTTCCATGCCATACTCTCATTCCCAGGAGGGTAGACAATTGGTTATCTTATCTGCAGCCATGTACTTAGCACTTGGCTTGGTCCTTTGGCACCTAACATCACTCTACATATGGTTGTTGAATGAGATAACTAATGAACACACTGCACCTGAGATAAGCCTTCCTTGATCCACTTCCCCAGTGATTTCATGTATTTGGTCATGCATTCTGTCAACTCGTTGAATTAATTGTATCCCCCACTAGAGGGCACCTCTGATGACCTAGGTAACTTATTATTCTGTGATCTCTTTCCTGTGCCTGGAACCCAGATGCACATGTGCATTGCATAAATGAACACACTAAGGAATGAATCAGTCAACAAAATGAATAACTGAAGCCCAGTGCTCAGGTGTTATGTGCATATGGGAGCAAATAGAAGCCATCAGATTGGGAAGAATCTAGAATGAATGTATATTATGACATGACAATGAAGTGATGGCCAGAAAACCAGTTTTTAATACACAAAAAGACTCAAGGACTCCACTCCAGAAAGTCAGAGAAAGATATGTCATAGAGAAACCCAAAATATTTTTCTAAACTTTGGTTTCTGTTTTGTACTGCTGCTCCCCTGCTTCTTCCTTCCCTGCCTTTCTGTCTTTTTAAACAACAGCTTCAGACAGAAGGTGGAAGTGGCCAGCAATTTTATAACCAAGTTGTCGCTGATCACTGTAGAAATAGAAACTAGGAAGAGCTTTGATTTGAAGATAGCTACAGAGAATGGTTATCACTTTGAAAAGGAATTTAACTATAAAGAGGAAGGGGCAGCCTAATTCCTATTGCTAAGGAAGAATATAACCTAGGGGAAATTTTTAGGAGAAAGATCAGAATGGACAGGAAAATTCCTAGGGAGTGTATTTGAAGAATTACTTTTGCTAGCTGAGACGGAAAGCAAGGGTAGAGTTGAGGATAGATGTAGAAGGCTGAGCACGTCCTTTGCCATTGCCTCCTTCCTATCTGGGGTGTAGGAAGAGACGTAATCTGTGGGCATGAGCCAGGAGGGGTTCAGGTAGGAGACCTGAATGGCCAAGAGGAGACCAAGAGATGTGGGAAGATTGCCAGCTGACAATGATCTTCCATGAGCCTCAGTCCACATCTTGTGAAGTTTTCTCCTGCCCCAGTCAACTGTTGGCTGCCCAAGAAAGCAGAGATGTTCAGACGATGCTGGCCTGAGGCTTTGCTGGGAATCTTTGACACAAGGCTGCAGAACCTGTTCAAACAAGCAAGCTTGCTAAAGTGTTGGTTCCGTGGGCTGGACTGGGTTGGGGAAGAAGTGGATCCTGGAGAGATGTTCCAGAGGCGAGAAGTGGAACTGCAGGTGCTGCAAAAAATGCGTGGAAAACGCCGGTGATAGACTATGCATGGATTTCAAAATTTGGTACACTAAAAATAAACTAAATTCCATTTTCCACAAACTTTTAAGGTGCCCTCATCTGTATGTGTACACACACATGCATATCCCTCACTGAGGGGCTTGTCTGTCACTACATAGCTAGAGATGCAGAGCTCCAATTTTACTGAGGTGAAGGAAGGAGACCATAAAATCTGTCTTCTATTTTCTGAGTGCTTGAGTTTGATGATGTCATGTTCTGGATGATTATAGGGGTGTGAAGAAGAAACAAGGCACTAGCTGAAACCATGAGAATACAGGAAGAGATGTTTTCAAAATGCATCATAATGTGGTGCCACATTGCTCACTGAAGTTAGGAGGCTGAGCACTGAGTAGAAAACAAAAGAAAAAGCAATAAACAACTCTGTATACTTGCATCTGAAGAAAAGAGCCCTATAACTGAGCATCAACTTTTTAAAAAAATTTTTTTAGATTTATTTATTGGCCGGTGCCACGGCTCAATAGGCTAATCCTCCGCCCAGCGGTGCCAGCACCCCGGGTTCTAGTCCTGGTCGGGGCGCCGGTTTCTGTCCCGGTTGCCCCTCTTCCAGGCCAGCTCTCTTCTGTGGCCCGGGAGTGCAGTGGAGGATGGCCCAAGTGCTTGGTCCCTGTACCCTCATGGGAGACCAGGAGAAGCACCTGGCTCCTGGCTTCGGATCAGCGCAGTGCACCGGCCGTGGCGACCATTGGAGGGTGCACCAACGACAAAAGGAAAACCTTTCTCTCTGTCTCTCTCTTTCTCACTGTCCACTCTGCCTGTCAAAAAATTTTTTTTAAAAAAAGATTTATTTATTTGAAAGAGTTACACAGAGAGAGAAGGAAAGGCAGAGAGAGAGGTCTTCCATCTGCTGGTTCACTCCCCAGTTGGCTGCACCTATCCCAACCCAGGAGCTAGGAGCTTCTTCCAGGTCTCCCACGTGGTGTAGGGGCCCAAGCACTTGGGCCATCTTCCACTGCTTTCCCAGGCCATAGCAGAGAGGGGGATGGGAAGTGGAGCAGCAGGGACTTGAACTGGTGCCCATATGGGATGCTGGCACTGCAGGTGGTGTCTTTAACCGCTATGCCACAGTGCTGGCCCCGAAGCATGGACTTTTTAAAAGAGTTATTTATTTATTTGAAAGGAGAGTTACAGAGAGAGGGAGAGGGAGAGACAGAGAGATCTTCATCCACTGGATCACTTCCCAGATGGCTGCAACAGCCAGGATTAGGCCAGGCAGAAGCCAGGAGCCAGGAGCTTCATTGAGGTTTTCCACATGAGTGCCAGGGCCCCAAACACTTAGGCCATCTTTCACTGCTTTTCCCAGGCACATTAGCAGGGAGCAGGATAGGAAATGGAGCAGCCAGGACATAAACTGGCTTCCACATGGGGTGCTGGCATTGCAGGCAGTGGCTTTACCAGCTACACCACAACACCAGCCTCTGAGCATGGACTTTTAAGTACAGGGTCAATCCACAGAAATTGTCATTTGCCCTACAAGCTTGCATTTGTGTTATCAAGTGCCAATCAGGAGTGTTAAGAGGAGTAATTAGGAATATGTTATAGAATTGCATAGTCATAAGAAAATTTTTATGGGAGGGAAAAAATCCTAAGCATTCAATGTGGGTAAGTCTCTTAAGACTTTTACAAATCAAGTAGTTTAGCTCATGAGGCTTTTGTTTAGCAAGAGCAGTCAAAGAGCTTTTTTTTTAAATCTTATTCTGAAGGCTATTTAAGAATCCCACTTTATTCACCTATGTACTAACACATTAAAAAAAGAAAAAGGAATAGCAAAATAATCAGATAGATTCCCTAGGCATAATATGGTTTTCTTGATGTGTTCCTAAAGGCATCAGTTCCAAGCTTCGGTTTGAAATCATGCCAGGGACTTCATTTGACTCATTTGAGATAAATCCTGACACTGGAGAAGTAGTGACAACCACGACGTTTGACAGAGAAGTTCAGCAAGTTTTCATCCTTCGAGGTAAGAGATATTTTGAGTGTGCTCAAAACCAAAAAGTTGAGTGGTGAAATTTTACATTTCAGTGGATGTCTTTACATAAAATTTGATGGACCTGGCACCACTCGATTAGTGTAATCTGATGCTGTCTCATTAGAACAATATATTTTGGGTATGAATTAATGAGCACAATCCATGCCATCTTTGTGTTCCCATCAGTACTTGCGCGGGACGGGGGTGTCCCTTCATTGTCTGGCACCACCACAGTTCTCTGCACCATTGAAGATGTAAATGACCATGCCCCAGAGTTCATCGTCCCCAGTCATGCCATTGAGATTCCGGAAAACCGAGAGCCAGGGGTAGTCTATACCGTTTTAGCCTCTGATATGGATGCTGGCAATAATGGAGCTGTCACCTATCACATAATTGGTAAGTACTTTGCAATTATAATTTCCCTCCCTCCCCATCCCAACGGGATTGACACACACCCTATGTGGTGGCTGTTCTGTATTTGCTAACTTACCTGCTGCATTTTCATAAAAAGTACATGCTCTGTAAGAACTGAAAGGATCTCCTTCACACAGCCGCCCTGACTCCTCAGTTCTTAAAACTCTGCCCTTGAGAACTCCTTTAACCTTTTCTCCTATGCTGACATTAGTGGTGTACAGATGGAACAGGTAGCTTCTCTTCATTTAGTATCATTCATAGACTTGCTTGTTTGCATTATGATTCATTCATTCATTCATTCATTCGAAAGGCAGAATTACAGATAGGCAGAGGCAGAGAGATCTTCCATCCACTGGTTCACTCCCAAAATGGCTGCACGGCCAGGACTGGACCAATCTGAAGCCAGAAGCCAGGAGCTTCTTCTGGGTCTCCCACACAGGTGCAGGGGTCCAAGCACTTGGACCATCTACTGCTTTCCCAGGCCATAGCAGAGAGCTGGATCAGAAGAGCAGCTGGGTCTGAAATTGGTGCCCATATGGGATGCTGGAACTGCAGACATGGGCTTAACCTGCTATGCCACAGCGCAGGCTCCCATGTTATGCTTAAAAAAATTTATTTATTTGGAATGCAGAATTACAGGGTGGGGCAGGGATGGTGGCGGAACAGAAAGAGAAAGAGAAATTTAAGATTTTTAAGATTTTTCCAGAGACTATAGGGTCCAAGTTTCAAAATTATTTTGGATTAAATTATTATAATTGCTATAAGATTGAAATAGCAAAATTATATTTCAAATTTTGATAAATTAATGATGTAAAAAGTAAAGTTGAATTGGAAATGCATTTTTTAAGATTTATTTATTTATTTGAAAGGCAGAGTTACAGAGAGGTGGAGGCAGAAAGAGAGAGGTCTTCCATCCACTGGCTCACTCCCCAGATGGCTGCAATCACCAGAGCTGCACCAATCCAAAGTCAGGAGCCAGGAGCTTCTTCCAAGTTTCCCACATGAGTTCAGGGGCCCAAGGACTTGGGCCATCTTCTACTGCTTTCCTAAACCGTAGCAAAGAACTGTTTCAGAAGTGGAGCAGCTGGGACTTGAACCAGCACCCATATGGGATGCCGACACTGCAGGTGGCGGCTTTACCCGCTACACCACAGTGCTGGCCCCAGTAATACATTTCTTCATGAGACTGATGAGTTAATTTTTCCAAGTAGTTTATGAATCTGGGAACTCCTGTCTGCTAGAGTAAGACAAGGTACAACACCAAGTCTGTCGCTGTTTTTCTTTATTAAGCATGGAGAGTCTTTGATCATATTTTTTAAAATGGGGAAAAGATTATTGTTACAGAAGTATATTTAGTCCTTGAATTCCTTCTGAGTTACATGTTCGAAATATTCAATGAATCATCTTATCTTTCACTTCATATGGTTACTCCTTAGAAATTTGAATAGGTCCTGGGATTTAGTTGAGCGCAAAGACTCTCCTAACCAAGAAAGGATGGTTTTCCCTGGGCATTGAAGTTAGTGACTATTTCCATATCCAACGCCAACTTTGGGAATGCCCCCTTAACCTGGCAGCCATTTACTTGGGTGAAAGTTGAGGCTCTTTTTTAGTTTGTGAGAAGGGCGGTTGTAAAGGTGAATATGGGGAAGCTACACCCTGTGATCCTAGGTGAAGAATTTTACCAACAAGGGTATGTAAACTGAACTTCTAGAAATCACCTTAAAGCTACCTGATCCCAGGTACTCCCTGGAGAGCTTAATGTAACCCCAGACATATGCACACTTCATTTTAAGAGCGACCTACAGGGCCCGGTGTTGCGATGTAGTTGGTAAAGCCTCCATCTGTGACTCCCTACCTGTGATTCGGGCATCCAGTTTGTGTCCTGGCTGCTTCACTCCCAATCAAGCTCCCTGCTATGGCCTGGGAAAAGCAGTGAAAGATGGCCTCATACTCGGTCCTCTGCATCCACGTGGGAGACCCAGAAGAAGATCCTGGTTCCTGGCTTCAGCCTGGCCATGGTGGCCATCTAGGGAGTGAACCAAAGGATGGAAGATCTCTCTATCTCTCCTTCTCTCTCTGTAACTCTGACTTTCAGATAAATAGGTAAATCTTTAAAAAATGATCTAAACACCCTTCACTCATGGACCTAAGCCCAGTCCTGAATCCTTCCTCCCTTACTCCTTCCTTGTTTTATATTCTTACTCTGTTTGGGTGAGTCTACTCCCTCCATGCACACATTATTTCAGAACCTCTTCATTGCTCCAGTACAGATGACTAACAGCCTCCTACACTTCCTGTTATCTCATCGACCTTTGACCTTGATGCTTCAGTCCTCTTCCTAAACACAGAAAGTGGATTTATGACAATGTGTTCTCACACCCTTCTGGGGCTCCCCCATACATTTCAGAATAGGCACTCTCAGAATCTTATGATTGGACGCCTGCTTACTGCCCCAATTCATGTCTTCTCTTCTCCCCTGCTCTACGTGCAAGTACCAAGGGAACCTTGTGTTGTGGTCACACTAAAACAACCGTTGCCTGTTGCTTTCTCCTATTTCCAGAACTTCACACAGACTCTTCTCTTTAGAGAGTAGAGTTCTCTAAATCCTGTAGTTTAAGAGTGAGCTTTGATGTCGCAATTTCTGGTAGGTATTTCCTGGTCACCTCACACAAGGCTGTGAGTCATTCCTGTGTGTTTCCAAGTGCCCGCTGTGCATACTGTTGTCACGTCTCACTTTAGTGTCTAGGTCGGTCTTGCCTTCCTCCTAAATGATAAACTCTTGCGAATGGGGTCGTGTCTCACTCTTCTCACGGTCCCAAAGTCAAGCACATACTTGGCAGACAGCTGGTGCTCTTTAAACGTTTGTGGAGTGCATCACTTTATCGACTACAAATACCACAGAAATGTGACTTGTCTATCTCTGCTTTTGTAGGGATGTCTTAGAAGTGTAAATGCAGGACCCCGAACCTGAGCCCCAACATGAGCTGTTGCTTTGGTTTTTCTCTGAATTCCATTCCTCTCTGTCCCCAGATGCCTCTGGTACTTGAACTCCATTCAGTTCCCACACTGTTGAACCAATACTCGCTCTTTTGTCCTGCTTTTCATCCAAGTAAATGGCTTACCAATCTTTGAACCAAATCTTACTTAAGAATGGATTTATTTATTTATTTATTTGAAAGGCAAAGTTAGAGAGAAAGACAGATATAATCCATCCACTGTTTCTCTCCCCAAATGGCCACAATGACTGGAACTGGGCCAGTCCAAAGCCAGGAGCCTGGAACTCTGTTGAGGATTCCCAGTGGGTGGCAGGGGCCCTCAAGCACTTGGCCATTTTCTGCTGTTTTCCCAGGTGCATTACCAGGAAGTTGGATTGGAATTAAAGAAGCCAAGGCTTGAACCAGCCCCCATATGGGATGCTGGCATCGCAGGTGGCAGATTAACTCACTGTACCACCACACTGGCCCACTAAACCACATCTTTCCATGTTAACTTTCAGGTTTATTTAAAAATGTCTGAAAGCTTTTCATCCCTGTGTTCAATTTTGACCTTTGTTCTATTTAGTACCATGGAATACAGTAAAGGTATGTTGTTTGAAGGGTGCAGAGATGAGTAAAACATTGCCCTTGCTTATTTTGTGGAAGAAAGTGGCAAGTGTCCCACTCATTTTTATGGAAGTCTTGCAACTCATGCACAAAGTGCCATGGGAATGTAGAAGAGGCAGCTCTCTGTAGTAGTGTAATTGGCATAAGATACGTAGTGAGCAACACTGGAAAACATTACCACAATCTGTTCATTTCTGGTAGACATCTAAAAATGAACATTGTATCTTTTTTCTTATCCCTGACCCTTGTTTTATTTCAATAAAACATGTTTTAATAATCCCACGAGGAAAATATGTGAATATAAAAGTTGTAGATGGAGTCCAGTGCAGTGTTTAAACACATGCACCACATTAACTGATCCAACCACTCAGTTAGGCTTTCTGTTTCCTTATCTTTTCTTAGTGTTTGGAGCTTGCCAGCTCCTCTCTTTCCTAAAGATGTACAAATATTGCATGTTAACCCCAATCTTTAGAATAATATTATGAAGACTAAATGAAATATATACAAAGCATTTTTGCCAAGCCCTCAGAAATATACAAGGAGATTGTCATTATAATCTGTTACTCTTGAACATGAAGGTGGAGCTGCCCACGCAAACAACACTGGTACGTGATGAAGGTTCAAGTGGTGGGGTTCCTGCCAGCCACGTAGGAGACCTGGATTGAGTTGCTGGCTGGGAGCCACTGCAGCCACTTAGCAGAGTGAACCAGCAGATGGGAGCTCATTTTCTCTCTGTCTTTGGGAATGGGCAAAAAAAAAAAAAAAAAAAAGGCACTGCTGTTGCAAATCAGTGAAAGCACATGTTGGGTGAAGACATACAGAATTATATTATTTTGTGTATCCCTTTGATAGAAGTCCATAGAGGCGAGCATTTGGCACAGTGGTTGAGACACTACTTGGGATGCCCATGTCCTACATAGCAGTGCCTGGCTTGACTCCTGGCTCCTCCGTGTCTGACCCAGGTTTCTGCTCATGCGCACGCTCAGAAGTAGCAGATGGTGGCCCAAGGAGCTGCATCTCTGCCTTGTGGGACACTTGGCTCGGGTTCCAGCCTGGCCTTCCCCAGCTGCTGTGGACATTTGGGGCATGAACAAGAGGGCAGAATCCCTCTCTGCTTCACCATATCTCTCTGTTTCTCTGCCTTTCAAATAAAAAAAATAAGAATTTTTTCAAGCGTTCAGAAGGTCTGGGACTTTATCATGTTCACTGTTAGGTCCCCAGTACCTTCAAAAGTGCTAGGATGCAATGATCAGGAGGTATTCTTTGAATAGAAATTCACATGCATATGGAGCTAGAAAGGGCTGCTGTTTTTTTTTTTTTTTTTTGGTTCAATTGAATTTTCATTTTGCTTGTTTAATAGGTGGAAATACTGATGGATACTTCGCCATTAATGAAACATCAGGAGAACTGTCAACCACTCAGGCTCTGGACCGGGAGCATATCAGCTCTTTCACCCTGGTCCTCCTGTGCTCCGACCTGGGCGTCCCCCCCAGGAGCTCCTCCATGGAGATGCACATCAGGGTTCTGGATGACAATGACCACGGCCCTTCCTTCCCCACGCTCCATTACCAGACCTCAGTGACAGAAGGTGCTCAAGTGGGGACGCAGGTCCTTGTGCTCTCTGCCGTGGATGAGGATGAAGGCCTGAATGGGCAAGTGGAGTATTTTCTGATGGACGCAGCTTCTGGTGCCTTCACCATTGATCCCACAGCAGGCACAGTGAGAACCGGCCACACCCTTGACCGAGAAGCCAGGTCTCAGCATACGTTCAAGGCAGTGGCCAGGGACCGTAGCACTCAGGGCTCAAGAAGCACCACAGTACTTATCACTGTGTGTGTCACTGACGTGAATGACAACGATCCTGTTTGGGACCAGAACCCCCTTGACGTTTTTCTCTCCTCCTGGTCAGCTCCAAACCAGACAGCTGCCATTCTGAGAGCCAAGGACCTTGACTTGGGGCCCAATGGAACCGTCACGTTTGGCTTTGCAGAGACCCAGACAGTGTTTTCTATTGACCACTATACAGGAGAAATTCAACTGCAGCAAAGTCCATCCCCGGAAAGGTTTCCTATGTGGCTGCAGTTAAGAGTTACAGATCAAGGAGTTCCGAGCAGGACGACCACTGGTCTCTTGGTCGTTCACATGGAAGGAGAAGATGTCAAGATTTCCTTCAGTGAGCATCTGTATGAAGGGCTTGTGACAGAGAATTGTGAGGCAGGTGAGTGTTCCCTCAAGGTTTTATTTATTTATGTCTTTATGTATGTATGTATGTATGTATATATGTATTATATTGTACCCATTTTGGCCAACTGCTTTAAACTGCAGATTATATATAAGAGTGCTATTGCAGATTCAGTTATAAAATTTCGAGCCCAGCCACTTTGTGGGATTGGAAAGTCAAAATCGGTACTGCTACAGGTAGTGCGGTCTGAGATCAGATATTCGAGTAGAAGAAAGTTGAAGGCCAGGTTGCTTGTCACCCTACTGGGGCGCCTTCCATGAAGACCCGTTCACAAGACTGCAGAATGCATGGATGGGACGCCTTCATCCTGCTTCACATTGCGTTTTCTTGATGCCTGGGCAGAGCCACCCTTCTTAGTTCCCCCAGAGTTGGAATTACTTCATTCAGTTTGATGTTTACCCTTTTAAAAACCTGCTTATTCAAACTTACACTCAAGGAAGAATGGAACATTTCCTGTAAATACACAGACAGGGATACACAGCAGGAACTCAGGGAGTTGGGACCCCTCTCTGAAAAGTAAATATGACATCAGTGAAGGATACAAAGTCCAAACTGAGGGGTAAGCTAAAAGCTGCAGATGCAACAGGAGCTGGGATGGGAGAAACAAAGAAGGGCCATTTGTGAGGCTATCAATTCTTTTTTTTTTTTAAGATTTATTTATTTGAAAGGCAGAGTTACAGAGAGGCAGAGGCAGAGAGAGAGAGAGAGAGAGAGAGAGAGAGATCTTCCATCTGCTGGTTCACTCCTCAAATGGCTGCAATAGCCAGAGCTGTGCCGATCCAGAGCCAAGACCTTCTTCTAGGTTTCCCATGCGGGTACAAGGGCCCAAGCACTTGGGCCATCTTCTGCTACTTTCCCAGGCCATAGCAGAGAGCTGGATCGGAAGTGGAGCATCCAGGACTTGAACCAATTCCCATATGGGATGCCGGCGCTGCAGGTGGCAATTTTACCAGCTACGCCACAGTGCCAGCCCTGAGGCTATTGATCTTTGTTAGATGCAACTGACCGGTACCTGGGTTGTCAGGATTTCCTAGGCCCCTGTAATGTACAGTGATAATGTGCATAAGACATTGAGGTTCCAACTGGCCAAAGCTTCCTTTACAAGAGGAATTCAGTACAGGCTGAAAGATCATATCAAACACTCAAAGGTCATTTTTCCCTTATTTGTTTTTGAATTCCAGTGATTTTTGAAAGGTTGCAAATCTATTGATCAGTGTTAGAATGGCTTTGATACAATTTATTCAATGGCATTTTATAGCTGCCAGCATAACATTTCTTCCTCAGATACACTTGCAATTTTAACCTTTATTTTCAAATGAAACATATATGTCTATTGGAAGCTTAATTTTTTGTGTGTGGGACGCTCAAAAATCTTATCAATAGGTGCCACTTGACATCTTGAATGAATTATATTTTGTATATTATCATAAATTCTCATCACTCTAAACTACTTTTAACTTTTCATGACCTTTTAAGAAAAATGAAAAGTTAAAAATAACTGCAATCCATTTGTATTTGTTTGACATTTTCTTGTTGGAGACCCTAAAGGTTCAGGCTTTGATTAACATTGCATGCATCTATTAACCACATTAAACATAACACCTCCATTGTTTAAACCAACGCAGAGTTTCCATTTTAAAAGCTCCCCTTTGATAGATGAATCTTTAAAATCAGCAAACGTCCACGTGTTTGCAGTCACTCAGAGGATGCCAGCTGCCCATGAGGCTGAGGCTGGCCCTACAGCCCAGTGACAGGGAAACTTGTCCAGGGGACCCCTGCCTTTTTGCCTGTGACCACCCCTCCTGCTTGGCTGCTTCCCCCACCAGAGTGAAAAAGAATTGAATCATCCTGCATCTCTTTCAAAGTTAAGGACAGACCACTTGTTGCCCACAATGTTTAAATACACTCAACATTTCAAATGAAACTTCTAGAAGCCAGATTTCATGTCTTCTTTTCACTTGCAATGTTTGGGTCATCTGATGAAAATGAATCAGTCACCATAGTCCCCGCTGTGGGCTTCTCACAACCTCATGCATTTCCTTGGATTACCAAGAGGGGGAAATTGAAATTCTCCATTACACATGGCCCTGATGAAAAGACTTTGAAAAATGTGAAGAAAAATCAAACCATGATGACACGCAGGGCCCTCCACCTGGTAAAATATCGTTTAATAGGGTACGATAAATAAGTTAGACCTTGGCTAACTTGGCCTGCGGCGCCGGCACCCCAGGTTCTAGTCCCGGTCAGGGCGCCGGATTCTGTCCCAGTTGCTCCTCTTCCAGTCCAGCTCTCTGCTGTGGCCCAGGAGTGCAGTGGAGGATGGCCCAAGTGCTTGGGCCCTGCACCTGCATGGGAGACCAGGATAAGCACCTGGCTCCTGCCTTCGGATCGGTGCAGCGCGCCGGTTTTGGGGGTGAACCAATGGAAGGAAGACCTTTCTCTCTGTCTCTCTCTCACTGTCTAACTCTGCCTGTCAAAAAAATAAATAAATAAGTTAGATCTTAATATTGTTGAGGAAAAAGCCTTCTTCCACACCATTGGCAGTTGATGCAGTGAATCCTGGCTGCTACCTCAGTCACACTGGGTGTGTGTGCGTCAGTAAGGGACTGTGGCCCCAGCACAACCTGAATGGGTCCTGGTGCGTGTGTGTCAGTGAGGAAGCTGTGGAACCAAGGCGACCTGAGTGGGTCCTGGTGCATGTGTCAGTGAGGGAGCTGTGGCATAAGAAGCCAAAACTGCAATCAGGGAGTTGTTTGCTAACTGTACAAATGCGAGGAGGATGTGATTCAGATTTTGATTATTGTCAGAGTATGTTACCCTTCTCAGGCACAGTTTACACAGCACTGCCAAGGAGAATTTCATGATGCCTGCGTTGACTGTCTGGGCTTCAGTTGCTCATGAAGTTCCTTTTTGCTTTACATATTCCTAGTTTGGCTTCTTAATACCTCAGGCAAGGTTTCTGGGGCTGGTGCTATGGCATAGTAGGTTAAGCCTTCGCCTGCAGTGCCAGCAACCCATATGGGCATCAATAATTTGAGTCCCAGAAACTCCATTTCTGATCCAGCTCCCTACTGGTGCACCTGGGAAAACAGCAGAGATTGGTCCAAGTGCTTGGGCTCCTGCACCCATGTGGGAGATGTGGAGAAAGCTCCTGCCTGGCTCCTGGCTCTGAGTCAGCCCCAAGTGGGAGGAATGAACTAGTGATGGAAGACCTCTCTCTCTCTCTCTCTCTCTCTCTCTCTCTGCCTCTCTATAATTCTGCTTCTCAAATAAATAAGTAAATCATTAAAAATAAAAGACCTGTTCAGGGAACCATTTTGTAGCATTCTTCTCTGAACCTTTTTTTTTTTTTTTTTTTTTTTTTTTTTTAGATTTATTGGTTTGAAAGGCAGAGTTACACAGAGGCAGGGGCATATGGGAATGCAGGCACTGCAGGTGGTAACTACCCGCTACATCACAGCATCAGCCCCACCATTGTGTTTTGAATACAGACTCAACAGGGTTCATATTATTTATGTATGTATTTATTTGAGGGGCAGATAGAGCAAGAGACACAGAGACACTCTCTTTGGGAACTCTCTAAATGCCCGCAGTGGCTGCACGGGGATCCAAAGTTAAGAGCCAGAAACTCAATCCAGGTCTCCCGCCTTGGAGGGCAGGAACTCAGCCGCTGAAGCCATCACTGATGCCTCCCAAGGCCCACATCAACAGGAGCTGGAATAAAGAGCCACAGCCAGTGATGAAATCCTGGCGCTCCACTGCGGGATGTAGGCATCCTAGCAAGCTTCTTAACTGCTCAACTAAGTTAGCAGTGTGGACAGGAGGGAGAAGCTCTGGTGTTCTGTTGCGCAGTAGGGTGACTATAGATAATTATAATGTAAACATTCAGTTTCTGAGCATTTATTTAATCTCTTCCCTCCCCAGATAATTTTGATAATCAAGTGGGCACTTTGTCATCATTATTACCCCCAGTTGTAAGTCTAACACCTGGAGATGAAGGTGCACCAGAAGTAGCTGGGGGAAGCTTCCCACTAGGAAGAGCAAAACTAGAAGGAAGTTTGTTCCTTGTAGGTCTTCAGCAAATGTTGAAATCATTTTACCATTGAGTCATTACTTCTAAGATAGAAAAAAAAAAGTCACATGGCAAAATGAGAATAAAACTGAGTGGGTGGGGAAGGATGGGCGGGACAGTGGGAGCCAGCAGGGCAAATGACAGGTACAAAACCCTGGGGACTCAGAGTATGGTGAGTCTACCATGTAGCAAGGCACTGCACCTGCAACAGCCAGGGAGTAGCTTGCTCAGAAACTCAAATGGAGAAGAGAGACAGTGATGGCCTTCAAGTGATCTAAAGCAACTTTGATGATGCATGAAGAGTGGTCTGGAGAGAGAGAGATGAATGGTCAATAATCAAGGCCTGGATAGAGCCACAGCAGTGAGGGAGAGCTGGGACATGTGCTCCACCAGGGTTTTGAAGACCTGGTGATTGCTAAGACCCCCAGGGTTCTCAACCCTGGCTACACATAGAGACACCTGGGAAGCTTTGAAACTTGGGCCACCCACCTACACAATCCATTCACTGAGGCTGTTTGAAAACAAACCAGATTTACTAATGGGTAGAAGCTTCCTTGTGATTCCAATGTGCAGCCAAGGGTGAGAGTAGAAAGAAGAGAGGGAAAATCAGGAGTCGTGCCAATATTTTAGAGGAGTTGGAGAAATACTGTGTCTACCAAGGAGCCTGAGATGGGCGTGCTGTGGTAGTAGTGACCATTGCTGAGAGGATATGGTTACAGAAGCAGAAAAGGAGCACATTGGAGAAGCAGGGAGCAGTCAACCACGCTTAATTTGGGGCAGAGGTTAAGTAATACATGGACTCAAAGGAGATGACAACCAGCTGAGACTGGGCCTGGCCCCAGAGCTTAAGTGAGGAGATGGCCCCTGCCCACTGAGTGGGGCTTCAGTGTTGGCAGTCCCTCAC